GAGGTAGGTCGAATATAATGCCGAGGTGGTGCATCAATTCTTGTGGCTTCGTTTAGGCTGCAGATTAGTGTGTGTGGCCTCGTGAAAGGTCAGGTTATGGTCAGTAGGTCAGAGTCTTTATCGTCTTGCGATTTTAATCAAGATTGACACGCCCTGAATGAATTTTTCAACATGATTATTTAGCAAAAAAAAAAACCTTTATATATATCGAGTTCATTCTTTGGGCTCCAGTACCAATTCCAGTTGATCAGTAATTAGACAAGTAGTTGAATAGTATTATCAGCATGGTTGAAATAACTATCAATGTGTTATTCTCATTAAAGTTAACGTTGAATAGCTCAGGACGAGGAGAGGCTTCTGCCTATCCCTCTCATTGTCGATCTACTGATCAAAAGAAGAAGAGATGTAATCTATAGGTACATTTACTAGTTCTGTGTCACTAGTATTCAGTTTTCCATTGTATGCTCGACTGATTCATACATGATATTGTTTCCTCTCATGGCAAATTTTAGCAAACTCACGTGTGTATTTCCTGCATCATGATTTATTATTCAGCAATTTACATTCGTGTGTATGGAGTAATAAAAATGATGGTAGTGTAGGGTTCTCGAGGCAACAGGTGGGCGTGCCTAGACTTCAAGCCTTGCGCTCTTTAGTCTTTACTCGACTCTCCTTCCCACTTGTCTTTTAACATTTAATTCCATTAATGAATACTATCATATTACGACGCTAAAGCATCGTCGAAATCTATACGATTATTTTTGAACCAAGTTCCCCTTAAATTCCGAATAATTATTCTTTAGTATCCCAAAAGCTGATCAAATAATTTGGATCCCGTCTTAGATATGTTTTAAATGTTTATTATTTATTTTTAAAAGTCTTTTAAATTGATGTAAAAAATTGAGTAATGTTCTATTTATGGTATAAAAAATTCAATATGCTACAGAAAAAAGACGCGATTTTTATAACTATCTTGATAAGAAAAAAATTCATATTAACTACTTTTTATAGCTTTAGGTTCTTCATTAAATAATCTATTTACGTTTTTTAAATAATTATTTATAATCAGATTTTTATCTACTTATTTACCATCTTTTTCTAAATGAAATAAATGAATTATATTCAATAAATTTTTGTTCAAATAAATAACGAAATTTGATTACTCCAAAAAATGTAAATATATGTTATGTAGAATTTAATTACTCACTTTCTACTTGATTGGCAGTGGTCTAAAGTTTATTTCTATTACAAAGTAATTTATCTAGATGATCATGGCAATGATTTATAAAATACTTGATAACATTTTAATGACATTCCATAGCCAATAGCATTTATTTTATGGAAGTCAATGAAGGATAGGCATCTCACCATTCATATAAACTTGATGTTGTCTCCATATATGTTGATATTGAGTCCATCTAGAACTGGTACTGTCATCATGTATAGGCGGCAGGGGGTGTACTTGGTGCGCGTGTGATGTGGGTGGTGGCAAATTAGGGGGCGGTTGTTGGGGTTGATGCGCAGGCGCTAGGACAATGTGAGGATGTGAGGATTGTACAGATGTAACAGGAGTCTGTGCTTGTTGCGATTGTGCTGGATGATGATGATGATTTTGTTGCTGTTGTTGAGGCTGTTGAGGGTGATGCGACTGCACAACTGAAACCGGTGATGACACTAACTGTTGGTACTCCATTGCACAGCTATGTATAAACTCATCGAACCATTTAATTCACTCTCAATCGCAGTCTGTGTCTCTTTCACGATACTTTGCAAATATTTTTTTTGTAAATTTGTTTTATGTAAATTTTATTCTTCACACTCGTATAATTATGTTAATTACCATGCGGTACGTATTCATGTATTTATATATAATCACTAACACTTATTATAAAAAGAGTTCAATAATTACATTTAAATCAATATTTCTTTCTCAATTTTAAAGATAAATTTTTGCTCATTTATTTCATTAAATTCTTCCACAATTTCTAATAATTTTCTCTAAACTTTGCTTTAAGTAAAAAAAAAAAGATATTTTTAGGGTATGAGTAGCGTCCGAACGCGCTTTACTTATGTTGCAAAAAACATCTGGAACACTGCAAACTATTTTAGAAAGCTTAAGAAATGTTTATTTTTGAAAATAGTTTGATTAAAAAAATAGAATGGACGAAACCCGGCACGGTAAATAGTCCGTCTCCGGGTGTACGGCGCGTGTCGCGCTTGCGTTCGCGTTCAACAAGACACTGGCACACGACCGCGAGTCAGAACGGGCCGTCAAACGGCCCCACGCTCTCAAGAGCTAATGCCTCCACGTACCGCCTCTATTTTCCCCACTCGTGAATCAAATTCCCTCGGTTTCCCCCGTTATTCTGTGGACTCTAGACCCCCTCTTGGGGGCTCATGAGTTGAGTCTGATCGAGAGGAACTTCCGTATTCGAGGAAGGGACAATTACATGTGACACTGCAGCGATGAGCATCCTGGAGAACGTTACTACGGATTATCTATCATTTGATTATTTATCATTTATTTTAATTCCTCATTTTCCCGCCTCTATTTTATTCAGGTACAAATTGTCAATTGATAAGAGACCAGATCAACGAAAAAAATGCTGAATAACATGACATATATTCCGATCTCAACCTCAAAGAAAAAAAGAGAAAGAAATAAAATAAAAAAGTATATAAAGTGAAAGAATCAGGCACAGGCATTTCACTGGTTGGTGAAAGTGGCCGAAAGTGGTTTCGAGGTGGACCCGGGCCAAAGCGAAAACCAGTCCTTCTTTCGTTTCTTGGCCTGATAATTTTGCCTCTTGGAAAGGTATATAAATGATTAATTTTATTTTTTAACATTGCAGAGAAAAGTCACTTCAAATATTTTCAGAGAAATAAATGTTTCGTTTAATAGAAATAGATCGAATATTGATTAATCTTGAGTTAATTAATCATCCGTGATACGAGTAAATTAAAGTCTCAAGTGATAAATAGTAAAAGCGGTATCTCTTTCTTTTTTCAGTCTCATAATTTTACTTTTCAATTTACATCAAGTTTTACAAATTTTTTTTTTATATTCAAGGAAATGAAAAGTTCAAATGTCTAAAAGAAATTAGTGGGAAAGAAAAAATTATCTACTCCAAAATCAATGAAGAATTTTTTAATTAAAAATTAATAAATACTCTACTGGTAGTGTAGAAGAATTTATTTACATCATTTGAATTAAGAAAGTATGCTTATCATTATCAAACAAAAAAAAATATTAGTGTATAAAAAAAATGTAATGTCTTTCAAACATCTATTATATAGTAAATTGAAGCCACATGTTGGTGAATTTAATGAACAGAAATAAACAAGTACGTTGGTAACAAACTTAAGTCACTAACCTATTGAAATTGTTTTTTTATATGCTACTTTCTTTTAAATTGTATGTAGTAAGATATAACGATTTCCTATATAGAGAATGATTTTAAAAACGCTAGATTACACTATGGAAGTTTAATAAAAGACAATTGTATAAAAGTTAAGGAAAAACATTCCATAGACTCGTGCTAAGATGGTAGTTAGTTTGTAATAAATATATATTTTATAGTTGGATGTATTTGTGACAGTGAGAAAAAGAAAGAGAGACAAGTAAACGACAATGGTAAGCCACGAGAGACCTTGTGGTTTAGTTGTTGGAGAAGGTTGCAGGCAACTATCGCTTCAAGAATAATTATACTTTTGTATCCGACAATTTATGTAAACGTCACGCGCATATACTGCTTCTCTATGAGAGATCATATCATATTTTTTCTAGCATTCAATTCACTAGCCATTTTCAATGAAACTTTATCATTTAAAAAACAATAAACAATCAAATAAATTATTCGAAATTAATGGGAAAAACTTGACTTGTGTTATCACATGATTGTATTAAATATTCAACCATACGGAACAATAATTTCATGTGGTTCAAGTTTCAAGTTACAAACTTGCTATTGGTTTACATTATTCGCCCACAAGTAGACATGATAAAAAAATTTACTTTTTTTATAAATGTATTGATAATATAAATAAATAACATATCAGTAATAAATAGAGATGATGTCAATTATTTATTTTCAATCTATAAATGAACCTGTTTCAATTATTGCTATTGAGATTTGAACGTTACAACGAAATGTACTTCAATTGAAACAAATTATCTCATTGAGAAAAAAATTTAGTCAATATAAAATATTTGGAGCAACAAAATATCTTATCGATGTTATGTATTTATTTTTATCAAACTGATAGATTAATTTTATTTTTTGCTTATAACTTAGTAGTTTAATTATTGAAATAACTTGGAAAAAAAGAACATTTCGAATTTCAATGCATCATTGTTTTGATTATGACATTGAGTTAAATGAAATAACATAATAAACTAAGGAATAATAATAATTAGATGTCTTTACAATTAAAAAAAAATATATAAAGCAATGAGCCCGAAAAAGTCAAATAGATGTCAGTGGCAGACAAGCTGTGTAAACGAATGCCAGCCTGAGTATCAGAACGAGGCTTCAGTAAAATTATTGATATTACGGTAGAACGACTATCTTAGAGTTAAATGGCCGCGTAATCGTGTATGAGTTAGCAGACACAACACAGGCCTGCACAAATATCGATTGTAACGCATGAGTAATCGTATTCAATCATTATTTAAGGGGCTACTTTGATAAGTTAAATTCAACCAAATATTCGCATTATTTTCAAAAAAAAAAAAAAAAATTCTTAAGTAAACGTCAGCAGATATTGACCCTCATATCAATGTCAAAACTCATTTTTGTCATGTATTTATGTGTTCAAATGTGAATAGCGAACAGAGTGAATATGTCAAAAACAAAAATCCAGTCAATAGTAAGCGAAAAAAAAGTGAGCTATTCATGGTTTTGGATTATTAAAAGAAAATCATGCAGTTAATGTAAATGAAAATGGGGATTGTTTTGAAAGGGGTTGAAAATCAGAGAAATTCACTAGTAGTGACTTACCCTTCAGAGAGGATGTTATCATAGGATCACCTGAAATGTTAAAAAAATAAATTTATTTCTTTAATGTTGAATGCTTCAGAAAATGAATGATAACGGAAAAAGTAGAGCACCATTTTTTAATAATAATTTACGAGTTGATATAAAATAGAAATGTTTCAAATAAAACCACCAAACTTCAAGAATGTTTGCAAGAAACAAAAAAACCCCTAAATAATTTATATAAATAATTAGAAATTATATCCTTATGAATACGAACATTTTTAAAAGTTTTTTCAGAGTTGATATAAGATGTTTATTTCGTGAAATATAACGTAAAGATATGATTTTATTGGCTAGTTAGAAGAACAAATGATAAATAAAATAATAACAGTTAAAAAAAATATAAAAATTGACGTAAAATAGATGAGTCATAGAAGCATCCCAGATATAAGAAAAAATGATTTATATTATTGTTGAAAAAAGTGCAAAAAAGTTAGTACAACCTTTCTTCAATATTGAATAAAAAAATTTTCAAATATGATCATCTGTCAATGATAAAATAATTATAAGTAATGATTTCTAGTAGCCAAATTCTCAGAACAATAGTTGATAATTTTATCAGCAACTAAGAAGCCTAAATGGCAGTAAATATGCACTAGATTTGTTTAGAGATTAGAGAAATAAAAAAAGTGAAAAAAAACGTAAATAGTCTCGCGATATATGCTAGGAAATAATTCATTTGTCTCATCACATCCTGTGGGTTATCCTGAAACGCTATATTATCCTCAGCAGCGAGATGGAACGTTTCGCGAACGATTACAAGCTGTCCTTGGATTCATAACGCGCATAAGCTCGTTTAGATTCTTTAAGATTGCTTGTAAAGTCGCTGAATAAATTAAATGAGTTATTAAAAAAAAAAAGAAATCAATTGTATGACTCATTAATAACTAATAATAGCTGTAAATTATTTCTAAAATTGTAGTTGAATTACGGGGGTTTCTTATCTTATTCACTCAATAATTCATTGTGAAATTCATTTGAAAAATTAACTCATAAATTCTTAGAATAATCTGGCAATAATTTTCGAATAAAATAGCAATATATTTTCACGCAATTTTCGCAATGGAAAATTGTCAAAGAATCTCTGTATGTAATTCATTTAAATAAACATTTTTTCAAAAAAATTATATTCTCATTTCATTACACTTTTACGTAATTTTGCATTTGTTTTTCAAATTTCTGTTGTCCATGAAAAAGAATAGATTTCATTTTTGTATTTATCTTAGAAATTGCGAACACATATAGTAGATGAAAGAAGTAATGGAAAAGCAAAACGAGCCCGACGTAAACTTGTTGCAAGATATACATCCTATATACATTTTTATTTTATTTATGTATAATACACATATATAAATGAGGACGTAAAAATAATGTAAGCGAGAAAAGAATTCATAAATAATTCATATACATTGAATCTGTCGGTTCCATAAGAACAGACTTGCAATTCAACCTCGTCTTTGTACACCCTCAAATCAAATTTATATAACCAAAATGTGGAATTTTATTCAATTATTTACCTCTAACGGACATGGTACACAGAAAAAACATTTACTAATTTTTACTAAAGCTTCGATGAGAAATAACAACTGGACCCGGATTTCATTTTATGATTAAAAAAAAAAAAAAAACTCTTTTCTTTGCAAACTTGTTATTGTCTTTCATTTAAAATCAATCATTAAATAATAATAATCGGTTAATGATTAATCTGTGATTTATTTATAAATCAAAACCAAATGAAATCAAATGATTTAATCTCGTTGGTACAAGTATAAACGATAAAATTCATTTTTTTAATTACTATTTATAAACTTCGTACTGATTAACAAATTTTTATTTGTAATTAAATTTATATCTAATAAAATTTCCTTTAGTGAAAAAAAAATATGTCTAATCTTTGTATAATGATGTATTGGAAAATATTCAAGTTTTCAGAGAAAGTCATTTATTCAGTATGAAATAATTAAACATTAAATATTATAAAGTAATTGTGGTTTATTTCTCGTTATAATATTTAATAATCCCGGATAAATGTACATAGAAAGCTATTAGATGATCAAGATTGCGTGCAAAGTACCAGCAAAACTCATCAATTTATTTACGATTTCCTCAATTATCTCAATATCCCTTATTACATGAAACCCTCAAGTGACCAAACATTATTGAGATATAAAAATATAATCATAATACCATTTTCATTACAGCGAAAAGTATTAATCAATTCCCTTGTGAGGATACCTGATATCGTGTTATACAAATTTTGTCGTCGATTGCCTTGTACACGTTCTTCATACTGTTGTTGCTGATTATGAGGATGATGATGATGGTGATGATGAAGCATTTGATGTTGTTGTTGTTGTTGTTGTTGTTGTTGTTGTTGTTGCTGTGATGAAGTTCCTTGCTGGGCCAGTTGCATTTGTAACTGGTGGTGTTGAGTTGCTGAAGAAAAAGATCCTGACACATCTAAGGAGCATTGCTGATGGTATGGTAATTGGTACTGAGATGACTGGTGAAGATTATGTTGATGATGAGGATAAGTCATACCCCAAACATAATGTTGTTGCCAAGAAGCACCTGCTTCCATCTCTGACATGCCTTCTATGTTTTTTGTTAGTAACTTTGGACCAATTTTCAATTTTTCCAAAAGTTGATTAGGTTTTTTATTGACTGTACTGTTAGTGTTATAAAGTTTTTACACGTCAATTTTATGCATCATATTTTTTTATAATTTAATAATAGGATCAATAAAATTCAATCAGTATCCTCGAAGTCATTTTTATCATTGTTTATATCTAATTATATTTTTATTTTTTCATTTAAACCATTATTTCACAAATTATTTTCACTGTTTGTAACTTTGATTGTTACTATTTCAATTTAATTATCACTGAATTCAAAAAAATTCTTCCTTTTGATTTACATTGCACTGCTCACCTTTCCAAAATAGAGCTTGTATCTTCGTTGTACATTGGATTCATCGTAGACCCAAAATTAAAATGATAAAAAATTGTTAATATCTCATGTCAACAAATTATCGTTCGTACCTGCCATTTTTGCTTCAAAATAATTTATTCTAACCAGAATTTAGTTCATATATTATTTTCAAATAAATATTTAAAGTTAATGAAAAATTTTAGAATGACTAAATAATTAAAAACATTAAAAAAAAAATTATTTACAACTAAAATAATTTCCCTCATTTTATTTTTGATTTTAAACAAAAGGATATAATAGAATAAATTAAAAATAAAATAAATAATGGTAGAAAGAATAAAATTTTGATTTTTGTCATACATGCTTATAATTAATCTAAAAATTCATCACATCATTCATCAACATTCACCCAATTATCCACATTTACTCAAATTTTTGTTTTAACGATCACCTAGAGATATAGAAGATGAATTAATAAAAATTTATCGCGGATTGCTAAATACGTACACAGAGAGCTCTAACGATAAACTGAACGACCGAATTGGTGCGGAGGGTCGATCGAGACTCGACAACCAAAGAGGGTATGGGGGTTGCGGTGTGTAGCTCCACGTGCATCGCACCCAGGCACGTTTCAACGTCACGTGTTTCCAAGATATTGTGAACAAATCGACACCCCTTCATCTATTCAACATTTCTTTAACATCAAGTATATCAACCCCAGAAATTTATTATAATGACTCAAGTATGAAACAAATAACTTTTAGTGACTCCTTTGATTAACATACAAGCACTGGCTGCACACTTTCATGACTCCAATATTATTTATTCATTTATTTTGATTTATTTACCCGGTCAAATGTAATATATACAAAATACGAAAACTTGGAAATCGTTGTCTTAGGTCAGTTTAGATTCTAGCACCACTGAAAATTTAACAAATGTATTCTTACAGACTTAATCGGTCGATTAACGTTGAGATAAGCTAAGAACAGGGAGTCAATGAATTTAATTTAATGAATTTCCGTTAGTCGCGTAATCCATCAAGATGAAAATAATGATAATGTTTCTTTCCATCCATCTCGAATGAATATAAGAATTTAGAACACTTAAATCATTCTTGAAAATTATCCACATGATAATGTATGTGTGATTTTTTTTTTTATCTGATAAAACAAAAATTAAAACTTTTGTATTTTTATCTTTTGCCCATTTTATTTATATTATCTGTGAAAAAAAAAAAAAATCTTTCGAAAACCCAGAAACTGGATACTGTGATGTTTACTAGCACGCTATCGTCCACGTGCCTTAACTCTTTCTTTTGTCTATTGTCCTTTTAACTCGATACGTTTTTACTTTAATTTTACTTACTTAATAAACATTTATTAAATACTTCTTTTAATAATTTAATTACATAATAAAATCACAGAAAAATAATTTATTTAGTAATTAATTTTTCGTGTAATAATTGATATATAGAATGAAAAATTGAGTGAATAAATAAAGGTAAATTGATTTGATTGGTCGAGATTTGTTTTTGAAAAAAATCAATCAATATATTATTTCTTAGAATAAAATAAAAAATGAGTGAATAGATGATGAAAATAAAATGAAATTATTTACTATCAACTCTAGTCATTTCTTATCAGCAAGACGACAGACGATCGTCTCTCAAGCGTTTTAAAGCACGTCTTTTGTTATTTACATTTATATTTTATTTATATGCAGTCCACCATTGCTAGTACACAAAAACTGTTGGAGTGGAAAATGCAAGAGGGATGATAGAGGGATTGATTCGAGGCGAATCCACAACCTCTGTAGCTGACGGAAATATTCTCGTTTCGCATCACTTCATAAAATCGATAAAATAATCTGATTTATCTATTTCATTAAATTTTTCAAGATTATTTAACTAATCTACCAATAAACCAATATTAATATATATTATTCAATAATAATGAGGTGCAATATTATTGATTTATTTTTTCAATCAAAGAGTTTTTTTAAAATCACCCGCCCACAAAATAGAAAATTGCGCACGCATCAAAGCTGAAAAGTCACGCGGCAAGTCGCGTGAATGCATTTTCACCCCTTCTATTTTCAAGTATTCTATATCTGACATTTTCTACCCCTTCGTTATTTGACTAATATAAGCTGTGTTTTCATGTTTACGTCTGGCTATAATAGGACTCAATCTACTGTGTCCTTGAATTGTTCAAGAGACTTCACTCTTTATATTACTAGATTTTATTTTATTTTTAGAATTTTTTAATCATATAATAATACATGTTTAACATTTAATATTCAAGATAAACTAGATAGAAATAATTTTTCTTTTCTCTTATGTAAGTGATTAATTAATTAATCTAATAATTAATATTTATTTTTTTACAACTTTCTTCTTTCAATTTAAAGACAAAATCAAATAAAATTATTTCTTTAACACTTAACAAAATAAAATTAATTAAGCAATGAATTTTCAATTATTTTTATAAATAATAATTTTTATAAGTGTGAAAGAAAAATCTTAATAACAATCAATGGATAATAGATCATTATTTTTATAATTTTTTATCCAAGTTTTATTTTTCTTTCGTGTAAAAAAATGAATACAAATAATGAATGTGAGATATTTGAGCGCAGGAAAACTAAGAAAAGATCAATTGAGTTTTTCCTGCTCCACGACAAAGACAATAAGCCATGTCGGTTTTCACTGAGTGATTCTGCAAGGACACCGGATGCAAAAACCGGCACGATTTGATGATCTATGAACGACACTTTCCCACGTAATTTACCTGCATTCTTTCACTATTTATCTAGTATAGCAAAGCATTGATACTATTTTATTATAAATAAGGTTATTTTTATATATTCAATACTATGATGACTTTAAACATAAATTCAACTATTTAAATAGATTTAATTTAACCAAGATTCGAATTCATTCATTCATTTAGCAGTAATTTCCTCAGTAACTTGATTTGAATCATGAATAAGAATGAATGACTGTAGTGGAAAATCTGAATTACACGAGAATAAATGTCAAGGTATATAATTACAGTTGAACAATAAATGAGGGATGTACAGAATGTGTATGGTTGATTATATAATCTCTGTTTCGTGCAGGACTCTATTAAATCCTTGAAGACCGAAGCTTATTTTTTTTCTTGACCGATTTAATAAATTTTAAATAAAACAACAATATTTTTCGAACTTTTTTCTCGAAATTCTAAACCACAATTCAGTGAATTCGTTGTTGACAAAATCAATAATTAGATACTTCTTTTTTATTAATAATTTTTTTTTTTAAAGTTTTTCTAAGAGTATTTTTAATATTAGCAGATTATCAATGGACAAAAGAAAATTTGTATGATTAAGTAATTACCAAGTATCTTCACGAGATGACACTACATGTCGTAAGATTTCGAGAGTTTCTCTCAGCTTGTGTTATTTTACCATCAGAACATAATATCTCATACTATTGATTTGTTGTTCAAATTAACTTGAGCTTTAAACAGTTCTTCCGCTAATTAAACGTTTAAATGTTTATTTACTAATATACTTCCTGTCAGAAACGTGCTTATTTTGTAATCAATTGAACCAATTAATAAATAATTTAGTTAATAACCTTTAATTAATAAACATTAACTGAATTATTTATTGGCTTATTAGTCTAAAAATATTTCCAGCACCCACTGCGGATGATAAAAAAATCTTTTCGTTTATTTTAAGAGGAAGCTCGAGTAGGAAATAAGATAAAAAAAGGAAGGCGTGAACGAGCAACAGGCAAAGTTCTACTTTGAATAAAAAAACATACTTAAGTAATTAAAAAATAAGATAAGGTAGATAAGATAACATCTATATATATGTATATATATTTTTTAAATTTAAAAGCCCATCAAGATATTATTTTTCTTTTTTCTTTTTTAAATTTAATTTTTCACAAATTATTGTTATGAATTTTTTTTTGTAATAAACATACCTGACTTTTCTGTGGGTAATCTCGATGAGCGTTGTCTCGTTTCCATTTCTCTTTTTTCCACTTTTTTTCCTCTCCCACCCCTTTAATAATTTTATGGCGAAAATGAATTCTTATAAATTTTTCGATGATTTGTAAGTCGTTAATTATCCCGTACAATCTCAATAATCAACTTTATTGAGAATGGTGTTACCAGATTAAGGGAAATCAAACTTACCTGAAATCAAACAGAATAGATTTTTTTTCCAATAATTTATTTTTTTTTTCGTTTTGTCAATTACTTATCATCGTTTCTGACAAGAATAAAATTAAATAAATAATAAAAACAATTATTAAATGATTAAATAAATATTCGAAATGAGTTTTTTTGATTGTAATAAATAAAGATAAAAATAATGATAAATAAAAAGAAAATCGTTTCCATGACTACCTTTTATTTGTTTTCGACAAATCTGACAGAAATTGAGAAAAAGATGAAAATTTTTGAAATAAATTCTTAGTAAATAATAAATATTTTAACAAATTTATAAAAATTAACTAGTAAATATTCACTCAATTATAAATGGAAAAATATCGAATAATGTAATAATGGCTCCAAAAGCAACTGGTAAACCAAAGAAATTTGAGAAATTAGTTGTTGGAGCAATGAAACGACTTCAAGATCTCCAAGGATCTTCAGCAAAGGAGATAAGTGATTTTTTATCACACGAATATGATGTCCCGGTAGGAGAAATAAAGAAACAAGTAAGATTAGCGTTAAAACGTGGTGTCTCTTATGGAATTTTAGAACGAAAAAATGGGTTTGTTAATTGCTATAATTGATCAATTAGATATAAACAGAAATAGATGAAAATAAATGATATTTATTTCCTTAGTGGTATGTATATATGTAACCGAGAATTACTTAAAAGAAACGGTCAATTGGTTAAGAAAAGTGAATTAGTGGAGCCATGTCCTTGGATGAAAGTTCGCGAAAGGAGAAAATCTCAAAGAAAAAAGTCTAGTCGAAGAGGAAAAAGTTCCAAAAGACAAGGCAGAAGAGGTGGCAGACGAAAACGAGGAAGAAAAAAATTGAAAAAAAGAGGCAAAGCTCAAAAACGACCAAAGATATCCATGGGGGGTTCAGAAAAAGATAACTACACGAAGAAACAAAGATAAAGTGAACAAAATAAATTCTGTATAATATTAATTTAGAGAATCATTTATCTTTTACTTAATAAATTTGCAAATATTATGCTATATTTTTTTCATGGCAAAAATAAATTATCGGAAAAATTTTATTTTATTTTTTTCTTACCCATTTTAAATATGACTTTTATTTATAATTAAATTAAATTAAATCATAATTAAGGATATTTTTTATGGCCTTTATTACTAAAATATGGTTTAATAATAGACCTTAACAATACAATACCTAATCAAAGATAATAACTACAATATGAATAACCATGATATAATTTTTTATTTAACCACATGTAAACTGCTATATCATCAATTGTAATGATTTCAGCATCAGTGTAATAATTTGTCGGCTGTTTATTTAGCAAAGAAAAAAGTTTCACGCTCAACTTTTATTTTATAATGTAGAAACAAGACTGACGATAGAGCCGGCCCTGGTGCGGCCTTGTCAGCTAATGATAGTCTCGCTAATGATGCGTTTGAACACTCACGCATAGTCGTGACTTCTATAGATATACTAATAGCACTTGGCAAAACTATGAAACCATTTTTTATCAACTATTTAAGAGATCAAATTTCATTCATGATATTGGTGTTGTTTTTAAAACGTCAATATTTTGAAATTCATTCAAGTGATGTCGAGAGAATCCGGAAATTATTAGGAAACATAAACATTAGTCGAAAATAGGTTTATATTAAATTGAAAGTTGCCTAGAATAAGAAATTTATGATTGTAGCAGTTCATGGTGAATTATAATCGCATTCTCTTGACAATAAATGACGAAAGGCTACGCGCGTTAACCCGAAAATATCTATCTTGCGGGATATGTCGAAACCTGGCATAAGTTTTGGCACACAGCCAGCATTTACTGACTTCTCTTGATGCTCGGACTTGAGTAGAATTGAGAAGAATCAACGTCACGAGGTACGACAGCTAAAGAAGTAGAGGACGAGAAGCATCATGAAACTGTCGTTTACTCTCCTATTTTCGTATGGCTTCTTTACTCTATTCTGTCCATCAAAATTTACTTAAATAGCTAACCAAATACTTGAAAAATCCTTCAATTAGTTTATAAACCATCTAGTAAATGATGCTTTAATATTTCAATCGTATCAAAACGTTCTTGACATTTAAGCCTTTATTTTATCGATCAGTCGCTACCTAAATTAATCATTACTCATTCACTTTTATATCATTATCTACTCTTTTTACTAAAGAAGAAATAACTTGACATAAAACTACAAATATTACATTGTCAAATGGAAATCGATCTTTTTGTTTATAAACATTCATTATTCAAGAAAGCTCATTGACTGTCTAAAATGTTGTATTAAATTTACATTGATTTGAAAATTAAACAGTTTTGAATTTTTATTGTTTTTTTTTGTTATTTTCACGGAGGAATTAATTATTTAAACTGAAGAAAAAAATAGCAAGAAAGTTTATAGCCGGTAAATATTAATTACATAGGTACTAAGTAGGATGATCTTGACATTTAAGCTTTTTCTTCATAATTAATGTATAAAGTTACTAAAGCAATATTTTCCCTATTTATTTAAGATAGTATTCTCGTACATTCATTTATTTTATTTCTTAATAACAAACAGGCTATTGGGTTATCTACTTATGAATATAAACAGATGGTAGTCATTTATAAAGTGTGAATATTCAAAGAAAGTTACTACTTTGTAATTTTATTTGGACCACAGACATTGTGCAGGAGTATTTAGTTGTTAAGTTTACACTTGATATTATACTTGTACCACTTGTCGACAAGAGAATCGATTAAACAAATCGTAAACGTTTTTACCAGATAGCTTATAAGATAAGCAAATAAAACTTTTAGAAAACATCAAGAAAATTTTTTTTTTCTGACACTTGTTTTATAGTATACATGCTGAAAAGAAAAAGAAATGCTATATTTTATCAAATTAATCTTCTTGCTAGGAAAATATTAGAAAGAATTTTTATTTATTTACTTGAAAAGTTCAATGAAATATTTGCAAATGTTTCCTGCCACAATTTGTAACATAAATAACATTAATGATTTTTTCAGCAGTTGTAATGTTTCAATAAAAAAAGATCAACTTAAATTTATTAAAGCAATTTCGCATTAAGTGTAATGTCACTAACATTATAACAAAATTTAGCAAGTATGCTTTTAATTTATCACTAACCTAAAGAAGTAAAATTTTCTAAGAACTAAATTATTTTCATTATGAACCACAAAATAATTCTTAATCTACTTATTTGTTTGTTTTTTTTTTCCTCCTAAATGATATCTTAAATCAAGTCTGACACAGTGATACCAGTGTGGAATGTTTGATCGAAGCATTTGATGTCAAGTGATATGATGAGAATTAAATGACGAGTAAATTGGTGACTAAAATGGAGTAAAAAAATTCAAATCATTTTTAAAAATGTTTTGAGCATATTTAAAAAATAAACCTTGACTTGATTAGCATGCTTTCTAGCATATGAGTGTTGGACTTTGATTTTTATGTTGAGCAGCAGCAAGATCTAAAGTACAAGAGAACGTTTGGTTAGGCTATGTGCTAGTTAAGGTCAGGTTGGATACTCGCGTCGAATATCACGTGGTTCGCCACGGGTCTGCGAACGAGGTTAATCTAACAGCACGATTGAGCGCCGGCGCATTTAAGCACACTGGAGCATATAACATAAAATACACTCTCAATTTCTCTGTCTTGACTCTTCGCCAGTAATTCTTATTCATCATAACAAAAAAAACTCTCAAATCTTCATTTTTCATAAATGTCAATCTTAAATTAATTTCATCATTTAAACCCGTCACAAAACGATCTTTTCTCGTATAAAAAACATCATAAATAAAGAGCGTAAAAGCTCGGCAGCTTTTATTTTTCAATTAGTAGAAGGGGAAAACATGTGAAAAAAAAATCTATTGTTGGCTTTTACTAACTTGAAATTGAATTGCCACCAGTGAGCGCTGAGGTAGCGGAATTCGGTCGCATTGCGCGCTTTTCAAAGATGCATTTCATAGAATGTTTTTTTTTTCGTTATCAAGATATACATAAAAATTATGGAGCCGTTTTTACTCCAAATTGACAACTAAATAAGCCTTTTATATATATATTGTATTTAGTTATCTATAAAATCTTTAAAGAAATAAATCTAAAAATTGGGATAAAAAATTATTAAATTAGGAAAAAAATAAAAAATGAATTTCAAAATGTGTACTCACCGATCAGCGGAAAAATACTGGGCTGGTCAAGTAGTGACTTGAGGCCGTTTTCAACAAGGGTGGGAGATGAACGGTCCTTGTCGCTCATTTCACGCACTGCGCCACAAATGAACCTTAGCACCACGAGCAGGAAAAAGATAAAATATGTTCGTAGATGTGTGTATTGAGAGTGAGAGTAAATGAGTTGAATAAAGCTGTTGAACGACGAGAAACTTCACTAATGAATACACACGTATAATTGATTCTCTTTCCGGCACTTTGATTTGATTATAAATTTAGTCAGGTTCGTCGTTGCCGTTGTTAGCACTGCAAAAAGCCTATTATATGAATGACAAGTATTAACAATAGCAAGTATAACAATAACAAGATTTGTCAGTGTTAACGACAGGCGTATTACGACGAACCGGCAGTTAACGAAACGTAATAGAAAACTTTTGGCCACCGGTAGAAGAAAGGCCCCGAGAGCACACCCGAACCGGACCGCGTATCACTCGAGTCACCTACGGTCCACTCCGTCAAAGAACAGAAACGTATATAGGAAAGTAAACGCTGATTTTCACACCATCTACCGAACAATTACAGAACAAAATTGACAAAATTATCAATAGAGATAATTTACCATCACCTGATATTGTTTAGTCAACAAAGATGTCGCTACCATATCAATGAACTACCAAGTCATCTATGGCCTCTGTCGATAACTGCAGTATTTAAAATTAATTGGCAAAAAACCTCAACAATTTTATTTTTCGTAAATGCAAAACATAGTGAGTTTTTTTTCAAAAAAGTACATAAGTATTTTTTTATGTTATAAAACAGTGATGATAAAGTTTTGAAATAAAAAAAAGAAACCTTGATGAAATACAGTAATATTTAAGTTTTATTTTGTAATAAATCGTGACTGGTAACAATATTTCAGTTCAGCATCACTTTCAAACTGATTGAAATACAATAGTTATGACTATGGAAAAATTTTTAAGGAAATAACATGAATATAAATGGAACGCACATTATCAATTCTATCGAGTAATTAATCGGAGAATTATTTACAGAAAGATGTACTCCAATCACTAGATAATACACTTTTCATTTCACAAAGTTTTGTAGATCAGTATTTTAGATAGTTTCACATTAATTAACATTAAACCCAAACACTCATTGATTCTACCTTGGTTGAATTTGTTAAATAACCATTTTTATACTTTTTAAACATGGCTTGGATTTCTGCTGGAGTAGATGACCATCTACGATGATTTATTTTGTCTAAAGGTATTTCTGGCAAACCTACTTCTGTATGACATCCTTCTTTAATTGGCGAAATAGTTGGCAGGGGAAGGCCAATATCTTGGAAAGAATTCATTGAAGAAAAACCACTTTCATCTTCTACACTACTTATACTATTTGCTACTGGTTTTTCTTTTTCTTTAAATCTGGAATGCCCATTTTCTTTTATATCGACTTTTTTAATTTCTCTGTTAGAAGTTGATGATGGCGTTGAAACGAAAATTTGTCTCAATCTGCCGACACTTGGTGGCCTCAAATCTTCTTCTTCTGTTGTTTTACTGCTTGCTGAATGTAATGATGTCGTATCAAGAAGCATATTACTAACATTTGGTGAGCATGATCGCAAAGTATTATTATGATAATAAATATTGCTGTTATTAATGTTACTATTGTTGTTGATAGTTGTGCTAATTTCCAATGTATTGGATAACTTGTTAGAAATATTGGACATATCATTCTCGTCTTCGTGTGCATCAAATCTTGAATATTCTTCATAAGTTCCATCATCAAAGGATGTGGAAGTAGTTGACTTATTGCTGTTGGTGGTTACGCTGTGATCAATCAGAGAATTGGATGTGTTGTCATCATCAGCCACTACAGCTGACGAAGACGAAGATGCTAATGGTGATGATGAAGGTGATGAGGATGAATTAGAGGGTGAAACTGTTAATAAGTTTGGTTCTCTCATGGCTAGTAATGACTCGACTGTCCTCATTAATCTGCAAGAAAAATTCAAGAAAGTTGATAAAATAAAAAAGTATTATTATAAGAAACTTATCATCTTGGAAATGTGTTTAATATGGCAACAAGAAAATAAATAATACATAAATTACCTAAATGCTTCTTGAGATAACTTTTTTGGTGGAACATGATCATTTTTTTCCTTAGCATCTGCAACATCATTATTTTGCCTCGAAATTACTCCATCGTAAGATTTGTTAAGATTAAATTGAGAATGAGAATCTATTTTGTTTCGCGGTGGAGTGCAATGGACTGGATCATTTCTTCTAAGCACTGACCACGTGAAATCTCGAAATCCTGAAGATCCACTAACTGAAGAAATCTGAGTGACTGATTTAGCTCGTGTAAACTTGGAAGTAGGACTTATAGATCGAAATGAGTTGCTTTGATTCGAAGATGACTCATCAGCATATATACTTAGATTGCGGGTACTTTTTCCAATGTTTTTATGACTTCTCGAATTACTTGCATGTAAGTTATCCAGACTTTTTTGCGCACGTTCTAAGAAATTTACGACTTGCTTCATCAACGATCTGTACATCTGGCGATTGGCTTCAGTCTACAAAAAATAATATTGTATAATAAATCATTACGATTAAAAATAAATAAAATTTTATTTCTTATTCTAGAATATTAAATTACTTGTTTCAGCTGCCATTGGAGGGTTTCAATCTGTGTTTGGAGCATTACATTATCAATGGCTTGGAACTGTGAAGTCTCGTGCATCTGAAGAGTGTTTTGCAACCGGCGATTTTCTTCATTCAACACCTGGCATTGCTAGAACAACAAAAAAAAACTCAGGTAAAAAACTGCTTCGTATATTTCATCTAATGGAGGATTATTATTAAAAAAAAATTAAATAATTCAGTAAAAATAAAACTTTCTCTCTTACTACAATTTAAAATAAAATATAATTATTAAAGCAAACATATGAGTAATAATCTCATAGACTTATATTAAATCTGAAACGATTTCTTTTCAGAATGATTTTCAGAATGCCATAAGAATCTGATGGATAAAATCATAAATAATCATTGATGGAATAAATTAGCAATAAAATAACCTATGCTAAAATTTGATGAAAAAAATGAATGAAATCGAAAATATTATTGGATAATAATCGTATAGTAAATATATAATAAACAAAGCAAAAAATACAAATTACAGCTCAACTATGTGAAACGCTTCGTTGACCTTACGAACAAAGGCCTTTCACTTCTCCTACACAATTCATATACATATGCCCAAATAATTTAATTTCATCTAGACATTTACTTATGATTATCAAATAAAATCAATGATAATCTCTTCTATGACCTTTCCTATTGAAGTCAATATTAAAATAATAGAAAGAGTTGAAAAGAATTTTATTACACCAGAAGCTGTTATTTCTATTGACAAGTGATTTGGGATTGGGATAAACGTCGTCGTGCACGTTTTTGAAGTAAAAGCATTACATATTATTCCATTAACATACAATGGGAATGAAGAGTAAGAAGAAAAGTTGCGAGATCTATCCGCCGACGTGATAAGATCATGAGAAAGGGAGAAACATGATGAAAGACCATACCTACAGTCTAGATACCAACTCAGGTGTAGAGAGATAAATAAAACAAACAGGGGATTCATTTACCTATTTAATATATATTCCGAAGAAGATTTTCCTGTAACATCCACGTATATATCTAACCAAGAACATAATATGTTAATACCCAGATATGATATTATATCCATTAAGTTTTATTCATGTTGTGATAACGAGTAAGCTGAGAAATATATCAAACAGACATCAATATTCTAACCATCAAGCTGTATAAACAAATGGTAACGTGAGTCACACAAAACAGGGTTTTGATAAAATCCTTCAAAATTCTTCTGCAAATTAACGATCAAATTATCATCATCAAGAAAACATTTTTAATTCCCTCGATCAATTTTACTTTCTATCAAAATTGTTGGGATGTGGAAATTTTTGTTGATTCACCTTGAAACTGAAATGATGGCAATAAAATTTTCTTTATTTTATCCCAATTTCAGGATTAATAAATATTTTAAAAGGCATTGAATTGACTATATTTGTACATGTTGTTACAAATAATCAATTCATTGAAGAAAAATAAAAACGTTGATATAGTAGTTATGTAATGGTTGTTGAGGGTGTATCCTAGTTGGCAACTGAATGGAATACCAAAGGAACAAGCTATGGAAACTATTGGTTTGTATTTATTACATGATTGTTTGCGACACTTTTACAAAGAGTATTATTAAAAAATTCTTTCTCGAATTTTCATATATGTAAATTATCAACGAATCGCGCGTAACTTTTGGTCGTCGAGTCGTGTGTACGTCGCCCGCAAGCGGATGGTGCCATGCATGGTTGCTCACCCTGAACAGTCCACCGTACCTGAATACTATCATGACGTCATTTGATACGGTCACTGCTTGAATTATTCAGCGTGTATGCCTTTATTTCCAGTAAGCAGTAATCAGGGCAAGGGCCAGAAGTCACAGTACTAAAGGTGCGTATTTGAAATATATATTTATTTTCCAACTTTACTTCTAACCTTTACCAACTGAACATTATTTGATTATAGGAGCAAAGAACAAGTGGAGATGGTCTACTAGCATCATGATCAAGCTCTGTGAGCAGCTTAAACGACGTGAATGAAAGTTGGAAGAAATTTAAGGAAGACAATAAATAAAAGAAAGAGTAGAAAACAACTTGTAGGTGATCACCAAGTAAAGACAGGCATGTAGTGGCAAAGCGACATCGCAACTGAAAAGTCTGAATTTATTTTTGGTGCATTCCATTGGAATGGAAAGCAATCTTGACTCGAGCCTTGCTTGAGCGGTTCTTGAACTGCTGGATACATATACATTTACACATCTCATCGCGTTAGGAATGCCAAGAAAATCAGTCTCATATTACTCTCAAATGTTTTTGTGAGATCTCCAAGCCTTGCTTTCGATTCCCGCCATTAGCTCTAGAGTTTGCTAATAATTTGCGGTTATTTTCGCAATTTATGTATAGATGTATTATATTTTTATCCGCTATTCTTTCTTCAAGAACAAAAAATTCGACGTTTAGAAGGTTTTTTAAGCATCATGATGCCTTTTTCATGTCTCCATCGCTCATCGTATTCGGAACAGCGTTCCGTCGTACGCTCCAATTGTCTAAGAATGGTTTACATCAAGGAAAATAACATTTCCAACGCTTTGAGATAGATATTTAATAATTGAGATTCTGCTTCAACTAAAAAGTAGGAAATAATTTTATTTTTATCTGTTTAATTTGTTAATTGTTGAAGTTTCTAAGAAGCTTGAAGCTTAGATAAATGTAGAAAAGCATGAAATATAACTGTGTCCATCATTTTTTTATACTCAAGCATTGAGGATATATAATTTTTCATTACATAAAAGTAGATTGATCTATCATCTTTGTGCTCCAATTTGTATTTTAATGATGCACCATAATAATATCATCTGTTATGATATGTTGGAGTCTCAGACTTTTTCATCTGATTTATTGATCTTCAAGATTTGTTTGACCTCAGGGTGATCAGAACCATGAAGATGTTGGATGTAATATCATATGTAAAACTAACGCAACAGCGAATATTCCATATCATATTTCTTGCCAAACCTCATTCCCATCGTATCGAAGAGAATCGGCACATAACATACGCATATCTATCTTATTTCTCTTCTATTCATAACATGTAATGCTTGTAAATTCTCCCCAAGTGACTGCTGCAGGTGCTCTTCCCACGCTCCTGCACCTTGTTAGTGCATCCAACGATCTCGCTCGTTCCCACTGTTGGTTTAGTCGTGATAAAAAAATCACTAACTTAGAAAAAAAAATTAAAAAGTTAAAAATTCACAGATTACCGTTGCTGAAGAACAAATCTTCTTCTTTTCATCTCTTTCGCATCGCACTCAGCATGCTTTCTCCATATTAATGATGCTGCACCACGTTAGTTGCCGTTAGGAACTGCATTGTGTGCTTTCCCGCTTTTATTCATATTCGATAATTGGAGTTCTTATTTATTATAATTATAATTAATATTTTCTCACGTACAAAGGATAATAAATAATGATAGAACTTGAGTGATAATATTAATTAAAGTTCCAATGAATCAAGGGATTGACTTGAAACTTAAAGAAATTATATGCAAAGCCATTATTTATATGTATAAAATGTTGCAACTATTTCTATGGAAATTCCATCCATGTATTCATCAATTGTTTTATTTATGTTTAAAGAGTAGAATGCAGTACATGTATCAATTAAAATTTCTGCCAATTAAAAACAGATATAAATCGTTAGGTCAATGATTTATATTTATAATCGAAAAATTTTTCCCCATAAATAATTATTTTTGTAGTTTTATAAGCAGAATGCGTAAGTATGCACCATTTTATTGCTCTTTTCACTCTTAAAATTACTTTGTTTCTTTCATTAAAGTAAATATTCAATACTTAACATTCTTACAATTTTTATGGCTGTGTTAATTTCCTTAGATAAAAAAAATCCTTACAAAGTACTTTTGGGGATTGCGACAAATTTCTAATTGCACCTCATTTAATGTCCTGGAAGAATGTACAATTTTTATTGTCAAGAACAAGAGCTTTCACTCGACTTTACGACCTTCTTGCAAATTATTCTGCTATTAGATTTTATTTACTTGATATAACGACCGACACAAAGTATGTTTAACCTTAAGCACTGCAACAGAATATGTAAATACCTACCAGCATACATAACAGTTAACAATAAAAAAAAAAAGAAACTAAATGCCCCAGAAAAATATCTTTTTTCAACTTAAATGAAAGCAGAACAATAAGAACAAACAAAAATTATGTGGAAATTGTCTTAGACTTGAAAATATTATTTCTAAAGCATGAAAAAATAGACTCATAGGGACTATGTGTATTTATGTACCTGTACAATGTTGATAACAATTAAAGGAGGGGCTGGAGCGAACTTCCTGCTCAACGAAACAACTGATGATTATTACCACCACTGTCCTTTCACTCGCAACATACGCAAGCTATCAGTTATATCATTTAGACAAACGGATTAAATATCTTCTTATTAAGCAAGGACATTTTGACACTAATATATGATTATTCTTTTAAGTACTTAGTTGAGTGTAAAATACGTGAAAAAGTTTTTTGCAATTGTCCTTGTTTCTTTTGTCCATCATTACTACCAGGTAATGATAGGGAGAATAATGGAAAAAGGAAAGAAGGATGCGTCGTGTTTGGCACCTGTTCCGGAAATCCCCTCATTCTACCCTTTGTTCCTTTGCTACCATCATCGACTTTTTCTTCGACCATTCAGCAATGCAGAAATTGACTGAGTCTCTTACAAATTCTAGTCTTTATTTATCCTAACAAAAGAACTTTTATTTGAAGTCATATTCATTTGCTAAATAATTCTTGTATACTTACCGCCTTACCGTTATTGATCAATAATCTTTACAAGAATTACCGCTAATATTCTACTATTTAATTCTTTCCTAAATCTTTTAAATAATTATTAAAACTGTTATCATATTTTAACATGTTCTCACCTTTCTGAGTTGATTTAATTCTTGCAGTTCTGCATCACTTAAAGGAACCTGTTGCAAATAATTAATAACAGAAGATTACTGAGAAAGTTCAATAACAACATTGATATTTGTATTATTCCAATAGATTAATTGAATCAGCAAAACAATTGAAACTTACATTTGAAGTAGATTGGAAATTGTTTTCTGATTGTGATGTTTGATTGCCATTACTAATAGGCAATAAATTATTTTTATCTTCCAAACATAATGTGGAGTTTTCGTGTGATGCATGATCTGAAGAATCATTGATTAATCCAAAATTTGATGTTTCTATATCTCGGCAAGTTGTAACAAAAGATCTAGCAAATGAGCTTTTGAAAAAATGTCCAATTGACACTTCACTTCCAACATCAAATTTAACTTGAACTCCACTTTCTTCCATGGCTTTTTATTTTTTATACTTTACTTATTTTTATCTCTTGAATTACGTGATTTGAAACTCAATTAAATAATGTAATCGAAAGACGCACTATTCACTTTTGAATTTAAAATTTGAATTTTATTTCCATCTCACGAACCTTGTAACAACTTATCACTTTTGTATTATTTTTCAGATGCGTATATAACCTTTAACCCATTTAAACAAACAATTTTTAGTTGATAAACTGCAATAATTTATCAAAACAATATGTAATTAACTCATAATAATTAAATCCAAAATGAAGGAATAGGCAGAACACCGGAAGAAACCGGTTACACGTCCTTACTATTCAACGCTCTACAACTGACTGACAACTGATGATACTCCGATCCATGGCTGACGCATTTACACCAACCTCCCACCACTTTTGACGCATGCGCACAAACTTAAAGGATTTAAATAATTTTTCCTTATAATTAGAGAAAAATTTCCAAATAATAATAGTTATTATTAAAACTACAAAATAAATATATACAATTTCTAATACCAAATACCATTAATACTTTTGTCTGATATGTAAATAATAAAGCTACATGTTTTCTTTGTTTAATAAATATTTTTGATCGAGAAATAATAATATTTACCATCATTTCCAATAATATTATAATCATTTAAGAAGATGTATTCAATTTAATTCGTCATAAGCTCATTTAAAGGTAAGAACAACTCGATAAATTCTATTATTGGATTTATTTATTCTTTGATTACTATTAAACTCTTCCATCGATTAAAATATGTATTATTAATGTGATATTTTTAATTTTATTATTATTTCAATAGCTGTTACTAAGCAGTACACAGTGAGCAGTTTATATTTTAATAATAAAAATGATTTCTAAACTATATATTTGTTGTTAAATTAATTATTGAGTCAATTTTTAGATAGAATTTAGTCATTTAAAAATTTACACTTATCTAAAACGTAAATTCTACGTTTAATATTGTGTCGAAGCAACTGTATACAACGGAATCGACAAGTGTCAGGTCATAAATAGGAATTTCTAACGACTATGAATAAATAAAACGAAAAGGTCAGTAGATCCGCAACCTAGGGAGGGTAATAAACCATTATTTTAAGATTGCAAAAGGTGCCTAAATATATATTTACTTGGATTTTATTGAATAGTTTCATTTCTGTATACTTGTTGTAATGGCTGATTGACCTGATGACATTCTCACACACCCAAGAAATTTACCTGGACTCTGTACCGGCTACTCATACTATCACAAATGCATCAATTGGCAGGTATACCTTCAGTCTACAATGGTTGCAAGGCTACCCTTAGATTTTAGTAATTTAGTAAGTAAATTTTACTTAGCAATAAAATAATGCAATGAACGGAAAATCTTGGGGAATTCTTGAAAGCTAATACTAAGAAGCTCAAGCTTTCCAAAAATCAACAAGTACTTTGAATGAGCTCATAAATTACTTTTTTCCGAGAGAAATAACGACCATTGCTTAGTAAGCAAATTATTAATACAAAAAATTATGAATAAATAAGTGAAAATTTTTTATTTTATATTATAATATTAATAAAATAAAGCAGCATATAATTTATTAAAAAATCAGTTCATACACAAAAAATTTCAAAAGTTGTACAAAAACTTTTTATTAAAATATGACATAAACTTAATTAACAAATGCGAGATAACTTTTACAGTAAATTCTCTGTTTATACTGAGCGAATCTTATGTATAATTTCTGCCTTAAAATAAGAAGTTAAAGATAGAAACATCTATTCAATTCATTATCAAAAATAACAAAAAAAGTAATAACAATAAGAATACAAGTACGTTTATTCTACATAATCTAACGATCATTCCATTTTTGATGATTTAGGTAATTGAGCAGAAGGTGGTCGAAAATCTGAAGACACTCTAGATGTTTGTGTTAAATGAATTGGAGATAAATCAGGTGCATCTCCATAACAACTCAGTCTGTCTAAGCGATTTTTGATGGCCATTTTTTTTGTAGCACTTCTTGTTATACTATCTGGATTGACTAGACTATGATTTCTACTTTCAGGAGTCCAATTATTTGAAGATCTCCTATCAGAAGTAATACTGTCACGGGAACTAGGAGTAGTTTTATGTGATTTTTTATCAACTTCAGCCTGAATTATTGTCGCACAAGATTCAATATAAGCAGGCAGATCGTTGATTCTTGCACGAAAAGCATCAAATTCTTGTCGTAAATAATTCGGCCTTGGATTACGTGTTAATAAAGTTTTTTCTGTACAAAATGCTGTAGGAATACTTTTGTAAGTTCTATTACGCCACTCAAGATTAACACAAGCAATAAAAGAACCAACTGTTGCTATTTCAGAAAAACCGTACGATGCAACACCTTCCCAAAAAAGAATAGATAAATAATATGATGGTGAATCCTCTTCATCATATTTTTTATATGCAATATTTACTGTCTCGAAATTTCTCATGCCGTGTGGAGCAGGTCCAATTGATACGATAATACCAATAGTATCAAATTCTCCATATTTAGGATTAAATTCAGGTGAAATAACATCTTCTAATGAAGAAAATATTCTTGGATAATGAGTAGGAACAGAATCCGACGGTGCAATATCAAAATGTGTTGACCTTCCAGCAGTTATCTGAAGTTCGTTCATTTTTTTTCCAGAAACAGAAGCATTATAAATTGTAATGCAAGTATTTTCTCTGAAAGTACTCTGCATATCTTCATCGCACGACCAAACAGATAATGTAGCAGCGCAATTATTATCAGCAATTTTAATCTTCAAAATCGGTGTAACATTCCTTTTAGCTGGAAGATTATTTCTTAAATTATCTTCTAGTTGGGATTTTGAAGTCGATTGCTGAGCTTGGAAATACATTGACTCCATTTTCAATTGACACTCTTTTTCGAAAGCGATTGCGGCTTTTTCTTCGCATCTGGCATTTCGAATAATACATTCTCCGTTGGAAGTTTTCTCTCGGAATAAAAGAGGATAAATTCGAGCTACAGCAACAGTGAATTTTCCAATGATACCTCCATTGGGTTTAATTGCATTCAAAGTAGTTTTCATCGGACCACACTGTCGTTGATAACCTAATTTAGTATCCCATTTCACTCTTCGCATCGAATTTGTATGAATTTTCAATCTAACATTACTCGATATATCCAAAGGATAACGTCCTTCTTCGTGGTTAAGAAGTTCAGCACCAAAAATCATTAACTTTGTTCCTTCTCTTATTTTACCTGAATTTATGTAAGGCATAATTGCATAATCTACGATTGCAGGTACAGAATACCATCCATCCGTCAACTCTAAAGTTCTACTTTTATTTTCTTGACCTAAATTATCTTCAGGAACTTTTGAAACACATAATACCATCCTTCTCGAAGGCACATCATCTTTTTCTAAAATTCTTCTTAATGCCGGACGTTGAGATCGATCTATTTCTCTATCGTACCGGTATTTCAATTGTTTCATTACTCTATCAGGTGTTAGAAATCTACCAGATAACTTCCTTGAGATTCTCAGCCGATCCATTGATGCCAGTTTCCATACAATCCATTTATAGTGATTTTCTACCCAGCCATTAGGTATTAATGATGGATCTACACCTGGACTGGCTAAAAAACTTTGCTTAAATTCATGAGAGCCAGCTAAATTATTTTCATTAGGGATTAAAATTGCTCCATCACCTAGTGAAATGCCACCAGCATGATTCATCACAAAAACTTGACCAAAAAATTCGTTCAAATTGAATTGATAATTCTCCGCAGTGAAAGAATTAATAGACTTTAGTGAATTGAAAATATCTTTTTCTAAATCTTGATTAATTGATAGTGATGGGGGAGCATCAAAATAATTTTTTAATGATATTTGATCGTTTGTTTGCTTATTACTCCATAATGATCCTATGACAGGTTTTTCCTTAAACCGTTTCTTTAATAAAATTCGTCTTTCTTGTTCTAGAATAGCTGCTGATCTCTGCTCTTGAAGTTGTTCTGCTGAATATGTAGTTGTAATATCTTGAGAAAATTGAGTTTCAAAGAACAGTTCTTCTGGAATAGAGTCGTGTTTAAGAGATTTAGTTGGGGACTTAAAATCACGGACTGTTACGCTAATTGGTTCACTTGAACCTGGATAAGATCTAGGCCTTTTTACAGATCGGAACTCGCTGATTTTATCTTCTTGTTCTGTGGGACATGAGCATGATCCAACCGATGTTCTACTTCTAAGTAACTTCCTAGTGCAACTACTATTATCTTCATTGTCTATCCACTTGTCTCCGATTTCATTGAAATTTGTTTCTTCCTTCAAAAATGCCGCTACACTGTCACGAACTTCATCAGTAATAACACTTGAAGAGTTTAAACAATTTACTTCAGTGTCATCGACTGCTTTTACGGCCTGTAAATTAATGTCGCTGAAGTTTCTGTCGTTATTAACATGAGATTCATCAAACTCTATTACTGCTTGCATTAACGCTTCATCTTCTTCTTCAATTCCTTCGAACAGTTTTCTTTTTTGAAGATCTAAACCCGTTCGAGCTCTTTTTCGTCCTAATGGTGTTTCATCATCATCTCGTCTTCTTTTTCTAAAATTATCGATATTATTGGATATAGTGGATCTTTCAACTGATACAAGAGGATTATATTTTGAGCGATTTGAAATTTTTAGTTCTTCAAGATTAACGTTTTCATCCATGTCTTTAGACATTTCAGTCTTTGCTTTTAACAAAGCATTCTCTGATATTCTTATATTTTTCCCACTTCCTGTCTGGAACCCTATCAATGGTGGAATAGTTGACGCTTTTCCAGGCGTAATAAAATCATCAGTGGACTTGGCTGTTATCGATGACACTATAGTTTCAGGTACTGTGTTATTTTTTTTATAACCCGCGTTTACTTCAGTTTCTGTTGAATGAATTTGTAACTCATTCAAATCCAAGTCTTTCTTCGTAAATATATTTTCAGCTTCCGATAAAATGTCTTCTGATGTTTTTATACTCTTATTTCTATCTGTTTGAAATTTTATGAATTCCGAATTCATCGAGATATCCATACTCTTTTCATTTATGTTTTTAACAATATCCTTATCCGTAAGCATTGATTTTTTGGAGTTTTTTATACTCTCATTATGCTGCTCATTAGGACAATATGGCTTTGAAGTAGTTGGTTTACTTAATTTTGGCAGCTCCAATTCAAAATCTTTTATTTCAAATTCATTTGCTGTATTTAAATCTTTTTCTATCTCAGTAATCATATTTTGTGCTTTTAATAAAGCATCTTCAGGTACTTTTATTGGTTTACCACGACCAGTTTGAAATCCTATCATCGGTGGATTTATTGGTATATTTTCTAAATGGTTATTTTGTTTTTCTCCATTTATTTCTTCTCTTTTTAAAGAAAGTTTATGGGTAGAATTTTTATTTCTTCCATCATTAATATGTTTATTATTTATTTCTAAGATTGAAGGCACTTGCTTTCTAAGTGTTGGTTGAATGAAGGTATAGTTTTCAGTATGAAGTGCTGCTTTTTTACGAACACTATCAGATCCACAGATATGGTCAAAAATATCTTTATTACCTGCATTAGAATTTGATTGCATTAACTGAGCATCTTCCAATGCCCTTTTTATGGTTGAGTCTTTTTGTTGTGGTTCTGGAATGAATGGTGATAGAGATGGTTCAGAAAACATATAATTAGTATTTTTTCTTGATTCAATATCTTCATTAATGGCATCTATTTCTTTTACTTCTAAATCACATGAATTTTTTATATTACCTTGATTGATACTTTCTACACTTAGTTGAGAAACTTTTTCAATAAACTCTAACTCTGTTTTACAGCATTGTTGATTTTCATGCATAGAATTAACTAATTTATTTTTTACATCAGCTTCATTATCTATTGGTAACAATATATCAATACTATGTTGACAAAAATCATCTTCTAATAACCATGATTCTGATTGATGAACTGCACTAACATTAACAAATAATTCTTTTCCACTGGCAGTACTCCACCATTGTTTCAAAGACATTCTAATCGGAGGTAAAAAATTAGTTACACTTTTTTTCGGAGGGAAAATAAGTTCTAAACATTTTTTCTTTGAAATTGAAAAATTATCATTAAAATAATGATCTAAAAATTTTTTATACTTATCAGCTATATCCGTGCTGTATTCAATTTCATCCAAACAAAAGCCTTCCATAATCTTCCAATATTTAGTTGAGGAGCAGATATATTCATCAACTTTATTGCTAAGAAAATTATTGTACCTAGAGCAGATAAAATTACTGTTCTCTTGAGAATAAAAGGAAAATCCTCGAAAAATTTTATCGTCAACCAATTCATTTATTTGAAAATCCATTGGTTCATCATCTTTTTCTTTAATTTTCTCATTCAAATGCTTATTAATCTCATCGTTGTCTTCAATAATTTGAGAAAATGGTACTAAACCAACTTTATCATAAGTACTGATGTACATATTTTTTTGAGAAAGATTGAAGGATTGATTATGACATTCTAAATCCTGAAATTCTTTTACAAATTCACTTTCTGGTATATCAATGACATTGAGTTTTTTACGTAAACAATCAGATTTCTTTCTCTCTCTCAATTGTTTAATCCGTTCCGCTGGTGTTATTGTCTTAAAACTTTTATTTTCTTTACTATGTAGTCTTTCAACTTCATTTAAGTTTTCTTCAATTAAATCTTCTTTAATGGGACTTAATTTATCATTAGAAAAATCAGAGTCTTCATTATGAGAACTTTTTTGACTGTTTTTATCTGGATAAATATCATCATCACTGAACCTATTAGATATATTATTCAAAATACGACGGCTCGGTCGCTTTCTCTTTTTTTTTCTTGAGCTTTCCTGTGACCCCGGAACTATTTCATCACTGCTGGGACTATCCAATGCTACCGGAGTTTTAGTAGTGTGATTAACTTTTTGACTATTAATTAAATTGTCTTGACAGACCGGATCATAATTGACAGGGGAACTTATTTGCTTTACATCCTTGGCATTAGGAGTTTCTAAATCACTGGTCCATATTTGAGCTTTGGAGATATGTGGAATAAGACTAAGAGGAGTTGTAGGAATTTCAGCTGAATTGGAAAAGCTAAAAAATTACATTATTCGTTAATGTATGGTTAAATGTATGGTTTATTGGAGAAAAATAATTTATTTGTTTCATATTTATTCACTCACTTTTGCTGACTCGGTGAACATTCATATGAAAAGTGTGAATAATTCAAATGTGTAGAATAGGGATTGATCTCAGCTAATTTTACACTCGAATCCCTTACATTTTCTTCGCTATCATCGTCTAAATATATTAGAAAATATTTTTAATGCTATCATAATTTATTAATGGAAAATAAAATGCTCTAATAATTCACCTGAAAATAGTTCTTCTGATTGATCACTATCCATATTAATGAAAAATCTTCCCCAAATTACAAGGATAATTAAAAATAATAACTTTCAATAAAATTATTAAAGTATGATATTTATTTTATTTATTATACATTTTTGTTAACATTCATATGGAGAATAAACAAGTTCACTTGATACCTAACCTCTTATAAATTCTAAGAAGATCAACAGATGTCTCTGTAACGATAACGCGCGAAATTATTCATTTTTTGAATTTTCATTTCTAGAACTTTTGACAGCTCAATAATACACATACACATCAAAGTTACATTTTTTTAAATAGAAATTTACAAAATATTAATTTGTAACAGCAAATAATTTACTAAAAATATCTTCAGTAATTGCATCTTAGATTTAATCCGAATAAAACGTATTTTAGTTTTCTCAACTGCGCATGTCGCAAGCGCATCACGTGATGACTTCTGTGTTTGCCACTTTTCACACTGTTTTACAGCGCTGAAATTTTACAATTTAATTTTTCTGTAGCATGCTTGTTAATAACATTTAAGTAATCTTTAAAATTACTAAATAAATGTGTATTTATATCAATAAAATGAAACCAAGAATTCTATTAGGAATAACTTGGTCTATAGAAGAACTAAAAAAACTTGTAAATGATAAAAATTCATGTGTTAGCATGCAACGATCTCGAAAACACGTTGCTCTACATCCGATACATTTAAATGATCTAAACAAAGCTTTTCAAGGTATTTTAGATTCATCGATTAATATTTATGATCCGCAGTAAGTATTAAACTGAATTGCAAATTATTTATAACTCAAATATTATGTACTGACAACTGTGAAACGAAATACTTTAATTTGAGGTTAATCATCATTGTAATATTCATCTGACTTTAATAATAATTTTCAGATTTAAAGGACTTCTTTTAGCATATAAAAATCCTAAACTCATAAGTCAGTTGGGAACAATTTTATATGATTCTCATTTCATCCATGTAGATATTGAAGCTGATTTTTATGTATTTCAACCTCAAGAACAATGCGTTCTGACTGGCGTAGTCAATAAAAAAGCCGATAATTATATAGGGGTATTGGTCCATAAAGTTTTTAATGTATCAATACCAAAAAAAGAAGAAGAAAACTGGGAAGGGCATTATTTAGAAGTTGGTGACGATGTAACTTTTACTATTGAGCACGTTGATTTGAAAGGCAAGTTACCTTTTATTAGGGGACAACTATTACCAAGGTATTATCTCATTTTTCTAATCAATTCAACTAACTTTACGTATAATTTATTCTTTAATATTATTTCTATTATTGTAGTGGTAAGTCAACACATCACCTTTCTAACACAGCATCATCCCATCAATTCTTTAATAGTGATGAAGAATTAGACAATGATAATACTGAAAAGATGGACGAAAATAAAGAACCGAATAAACCAAAACGGCTGAGTTTTTTGGGTGCAACAAACAGTGATTTAAGTGATGAAGAGACACGAAGTGTCAATAAAGTCACGAAAGATAAAAATGATTCAAATTTACTTGAATGTAGTTTTCAAAATGAAGAAGAAATTTGTGAAAAACAATCTAGTTTAGAAAGTACTATTACTACACGTGACGAAGATGAAAATGATTCCGTATTGTTAAATGGAACAGAGAAGTCAAAAAAATTATCAAAAAAAGACAAGAAAAAAAGATCAAAAGATAAAGAACGACACGTGGAAAATGAAAATAATACATTAACTGATGATAGTACATTTAATCATTCAAAAAATCCATCTGTGATTGAAAATGAAATATCTATTAAAAAGTCTAAGAAGCGTAAACATAAAGATACTGAAGAGAATAGTTTTTCGGAACCTTCTCCGAAAATTCGCAAACATAAGAAAAAACGTAGCACGCCTGAAGATGATGAACAAAGTAGTATTAATGATGAAGGGAATAAGCTCTTTTCCGAGAATGATAAAACGGAAACACCAAAAATGTTAGTTGAAGAGAAAACTTCTCGAAAATCTTCTAAAAAGAAACATAGAGAAAAAATTAAAGTAGAGCAAAATAATGAACAAATTGATTTTAACGAAACGGAAACAAATTCCATATCATTTAATAATGATATTGAATATTCTAAAAATTCATCACAAGAAGAGCAGCCTCCACATTCTCCCAAAAAGAGTTCTAAACATAAGAGTAAATTAAAAGAAAAAATAAAAGAAGAGCAACCTAATTCTCCTGTCAATCGGACTACCGAATTATCACAAAGTGAACGAGATCAAACCGATGATTCATTTCTTAATAACTTTAATAATTATACAAATTTATCACAAGATACTTTTACTGAATCTTTCACTGAAGTGCCAACAAAATCTACTAAGAAGAAAAAACGAAAATCAACTAGTGAAAATTTCTTAGCTGTGAAAATTAAAGAAGAGCCTGTATCAGATGCTGAAAGTAGTTTCAGTAAAAAATCCAAACGAAAGCAAAAAGATCGAGAAAACATCGATGATAGCCTTGATAACCTCGATACAGAAATATTAGAGACTAATAGTAGTCAACATAAAAAAAAGAAAGACAAGAAACCGGTTAATGATGTTTCTATTGGTAAAATTAAAGTGAAGCAAGAAGTTATTGTAAAAGAAGAGTTTAGTAAGAAAAAGAAACATAAAGAAGGTAATCAATCAACTTGGAACATCAAACAAGAATTTACATCTTCAGACGTGGAAGGAACTGCAGTGAAGAAAAAAATTAAAACACTCTTTACAGAATAAAATATAAACATAATTTTATATTGTAAGTTTTTACAATAGAATACCAATTTTATAATAAATCATTAAACATTATTTTTGTACATATTTTCATCATTGTAAATAATTAATTAATGATGCCAGTACGAGATTAACGAAAATCGATTTTATTCTGACATAATACAATTAGTAAAATTTTTTTATGGAATAAAATAATTATAAAATATATATAAGAATCATAATAATAATATTATAATAAAATCAATAATTATTTGTCATAAAGATACTAATAGTATAAGAATAAAGATTTCTAAAAATAAAAGAAAACTTTGGCAAATGAAAAATAAAATTTAAATCTTATATACTTTTATAATTACAATTAACTTTATATTTTATATTAACATTATCTATTTACACATTAATGAACGTAAATAACAATCACACATATTTTTATTTGTACTTACTAGCCATGCCTCCTGCAACCTTCACAAATAAAAAAGAGTCACAAAAAGGAGTACATCTGGAATATCACGATAATAGGATTTTCTTCTTGAGATTCATTTGACAATTAATTAACTAGAGTGCTACGGAAGAGGCCAAGGTAATCCAGAAAAGTCAACTGGACCACCAAGTCCTGCATCTGCTTCCAAAAGACTCATGATTACAGCCATTGCTGCTTCATCGCTTCCATCTGATGGAAGAGCATTCGGAGACTCATTAATAGCTGCACCTCCTATTATTTCTGTCATATTTTCATCAGCAGAAGCTCCTTAAAATTTTATATTCCCAAATGAAGTGAACATTTATATAATTATTTAAACCTTTTTTTTAGTAGTTACCTTGATCAGCTGTTATATTATTCAGTGTAATATTCGTCTGTACATGATTGAAAGTATTTGTCAAGCTCATATTACTGTTTTCACCTCCCACATTAGACTGACCCGAGTCCTGAGTTCTTTCTGGAGATGTGATCTAAAAAAAAAAAATTAATTAATTTACTATAAGTAATAGATAGAATAAAAATTAATATACAGACTTCAGTATTAAGCAAAAGAACACGGTCATGTGAAGGATTAGGACTGTTCCGAGAAGGAGAGTCTTCGTTTCGTCGCTGATGATCTAAAGCTTCTTCGGCTATTCTTCTACCTATTTTGCTCACCTCAACTTGACTAGAAATTAATCTTTCCAAGCTACCATTATCTGAAAAACCAAATGATTATTGTTGTTATTACTATTATCGTCATTTACAAAAATTTTTTCATCAATAAATTTTTTTAATTACTTTGACTGAAAAAATCATAGTTTCCTTGTATACTAGAGCCTTCAGAACGGTTAACACTGCTTTTTACTTGTCGTGAATCACAGCTAAAAAAATAAATATTTTTTCATACAATAAAACTTCTTAGATATTTCATAAACTAAATATTTCATTTACTTACAATATAGCAGAATTCTTTGCAATTAAATACTCAATATCTTTGGTCCATGGATTTTTGAAAGATTTCCACTCCGACTGAAGTTTTACAAAGCTTGAATTTTTTGTTCTAAATCTGTACACCTGTAAAATTGTAAAAATATAGGATGAACTATTCATTAGGAAGGATTAATTTATTAAATAATTTGCTATAACATATTTTATACCTGAGTAATAACACGTTCGGCTGTTTGTAGTACAGCTTTATGAGACTCAGCTAGATGAGGAATATCGTCATGATGGTAATATTCATACATACTAGTACCTAAAAGTTCCTGTGGTAAGAAGCCTAACACAAGCGTTGCCCTGTTTAATATAAAGTTTTCATTGTAAAGAAATGTTTCTTTATAAAAAAAGTTTTTGAAATTACACAAACTAATAAACAATAAAATAATGGCAAAAGAATTTAACAATAAAATGGCAAACCTTTGATCAACAAATAGAAATTTCCCATCTAAAGCATGCCGAGAAACAAATTCTATAGTTCGTAGTCTTGGAGTTCGAACGTTTGAAAAGAATGTTGGAAGGCCTGGTTGAACTCTCCCTACAGCAACTAGACATGAGAGATTGCATGCTTCACCATCGCTCTCGCCTTCTGGTTCTTCTAATCCTATTTTCGCTGGAGCCCAGGATTTTAAGTAACCTGTGCATTGAATAACGCAATACTTCCAATCTACAAAGATATGAAAGTATATTAAAATTTTTTTATAAAAAAGAAAATAGCTCGTATTGAAATGGTCAGTTGAATGTAATCGTTCATGCAATTCTATAATTCTTTACACTTTGATCGAGACACCTATAGAGATTCTTACGAAAATATTCTTTTGATCGTATCAAATTCCTCAAGTAGAAGAAGAATTTTCGTTGATATAAAAAATTTTAAGCAATAAGCTATAAACGAATGATTTAAATGTTTATTATCATTTACTAATAATTTCAATAAAAGAATTACCTGAACTTTGTTGTTTTTTTCTTCTATGACATCCAGGAGTAGTATCAGTTTCTTCTTTTACTTGAGATTCACCACAAGTTGATAAGTTTTCAATTTTTCTTTTCATTCGACAAACAAATGATCTTCTAGCACCTGGACACAAGCGTGATACGCCTTGGGGTACATCAGTCTTAACAGGAAGCATTGCTTAATTAGAAAAAAAATATAAAATCATTAATGAGTCATCAAAAGAACTATATGAGTTACTTAAAAACATCTTTAATGACAAAAAAAGTAATAAAGAAAAACTTGTATAGTGACGCTTTCGAAATTAATTCGCAAATGCCAAGTACACGATTCAACTGACATTTACGCATTCAACAATGTGTAATGAGTACTTTACTCATCATTACACGATAATATACTATATTTATTATATGTGCAAATCGATAATTAATGTGTAAGCTTACTTTTTGCATCTATCAATCTTTCTCTTGGACTAAGATCTGAAGATGACAACTGTTCTTTCACTTTTGCTACATCTTTTGGGTGAAGAATATCAAACCAGCTCTGTCCCAGAAGATCATCCTAGCAATTATCCAATTTTTAAATCAATATTTATCTTTTTTAAAAAATTATTAGGTAATACTTGAGATATTTTAGTCTGAATAAATTTTCACTTTACCTGAGAGTAGTTGAGTGTCTGTGAAACTGATTCTGACACATATAAAATTCTTCCACGATCGCAGCCAACTACAAAGACAAACCCATCAGCTGCCTGAAAAACATAAATATAAAGTTGAAAATTGCTAGGTGTCAGAAGATGCAATAACTAATAGAAAAGTAAGGTCGAAGGGTAATAAATGTTATATAGTCGATTACGTGGTGAAGCTACCTAAGAGAAAGGAAAAAAGAGCACGTATAAATGAGAGAATGTAAGAGAAGGTAGAATAATTTAGCTATGATACGATGTGTAAATCTCTCGCTATTTGATAAATTAATATTTTACTCATATAGTTCAATAGCTCTTTAACTACATTTTGTTTTATTAACTTGTTAATATTTCAATACTACAGATTAACGATCAAAGTTCATGTTAGAATTTGCATAAAATTGTAATAAATTTAATTCAATTACCAAAAAAACTTAGAAAGTAAAATTTTTGTAGAAAATATTACTTATATGTTGTTGACTTCTTGGTCTTAGTAGCAGATAATTTGTAGAGATTTTCTCTTGATGAAAAACTAAAAATATCTTCTAATAAGTTTGACATATAATACACCCATCCACCTCATAGCGAATGAAAATGATTCAATAAAGCACTCTATTTTGATATTTATATTTCCTGTATTCTGATTTCCTCCCTGAAATTATAATACCCATAGATTCTTCCTGTTTGCACAACAAATGAAATCCTACAATGATGTTAAGAAAATAAGACTAGTGTTGGTATTTTAAATCAAGGATCTGATCTGGTATGTTGGGTGTGGTCTGAGAGACTAATATCCTTCTTAAGACCCAATGTCCGTGCATACATGATATAATACAAAAGTACCAGTAGAGAATGCGATAAACGTGAAAGCATTAGATCGCCGTAGATTAAAGATAACCAGAATAACCTTATTTGTTTGGCTAAAACATACTAGATAAACAGAAAAGTCGATTACACGGCTATTATATGACATCAAAACTAAAAAAAAATTCTATAAGAAAATAAAATGAGATGGTTAATTAATGAAGTAAGCTATCCTATTACTACGACAATGAGTAATGATTATTTAAGACTTTAGTAGCGTAAACTTATCACGAATGTCGAGTTACACTCGAGTGAATTGACCTCAGAAATCGTGCATAGTCTAAGCATTCACGAGACCCACGCGGTGTTCAGTTGCAATAAGGTGATCGGTTGAAGAGAGAAAGGGGCAGAAGAAGTAGTAAATGCGTTCAAGAAAAAGAGTCATTCAACAGTGTAGCGATCAATAACAAAAAATTACAATAGCAATAAAACATGAATGCGGAAACCGTAATCGCCAATGCTTACATATCTTTTGTTTTTATCATAATTTCTGTTTCAATTTAATGTTAATATTTTCCCAATAGTTATATTAATTATCACTAATAGCATTGATAATGTTCAATTAAATAGAGGAATACATGAAATAATTAATGAAATATTAATAAGTACTGGGAAATTATACAAAGATTCAATGATTGTTGAGACAGGTCAAATGTAACATGTTGTGCAATCGTTAAGTTTGAGTCTCTGAAAGTCGCGAGAAGTCCTATCGATGCTCTCTCTACTCAAATACACGGAGAATAACTTGAAGTTGTGGTACGTGCAGCCTCTTACGAGAATTGATTTTCTTCATGCTCTCGCTTTGTCATAAAACTCACTTTTTATTTTTTCTTAACCATTTTTGTTTTACTTAAAGACCTTTGCTATGTTAATATCTTTTTCTTGTTTCATGTCCTTTCTATAATTGATTTTCTTTCATTCGGTTCTGAGACTCAGTGATAAAAATCACAGTTTCTCACCTGGAGAATGAGTGTCTTAAGTTCTTGATCGCTGAGAAAGGCTGGTTTGTAATGACCCTCGGTATAGGAAGTGACTGCGCCAAGTATTGTTTTTAAATGTTGCACGGCCATTCTCAATACAGTCAATTTATCTAATTTTCTTGACATTGCATGACACATTGGTACCATAGCTGACAACTCGGTGATATAGGTATTCATTTTATCACGCCTTCGCTTCTCAATTTCACTATGGTTCTGCCTGTAATTCAATACATTTTAAATTATGATTAACTGTCATGTATAACATTTTAATAATTCAATCAATTTAACATACATGTAATAAATTATTGAAGTTATTACACTTGATATTAATGATGAATAAATTAATTTTTAAAGTTAAATGGTTTTCTCAGAAAAATTAAGATTAATTACTGATTTAATAATTAAAATAAAAAAACATTTCATTTTATTTTATGATGAATCAATTTTTGATAGAAAATTTTCGTTTCTTTTTTAAAAATTTGAATAATTTTTGCCAAAATCAATAGGTTCAATATTTGATCCACTTATTGTTAGTTTATAAAATCGAACTAGAATTTACGTCACAAACGAAGCCAACTTGCGTTAATTCCTCCAAGCCAAGGTAGGTCAAGATCAGTCTCACCTTTCTACGTACTTTTCGCATTTATTTCTTTCCACTACAAAAATTCTGCATTTCAACAATATCATTGAATTACATAGACACAAACAAATGAGTAGAAATATGTGTTACTGTTTAGCAAAACAAAGTCTTTCCTAGAAGTTAAAAAAAACTCACTTTTTACTGTCAGCATTCGGTCGAACAGACTTAACATCATCAGCAGTATCGTCTAACAAATCGTTATCATCACTGTAACAATAAAGAAACATGTATAAAAAATTAAAAGTTTAATTTATAAGAATTTGAAGTGTTTCTTTTCACATGTAAAGCTTATGTCAAAGTTAATTTAAATGGCTTCTTACTAAAGGAGCCACGAATTCATTGATCTTGGTTCTGGTGTATATGTATATTACATATATTTCTTCTTACTACGTGTAAATCAAAGTTATTGAAGCGCATTGCTCGATAACTTGGAGAGAACTCTCTAGGGATTGACGTCTGTTAACCCTTTGATCGACCGTCTTAAAATGATTGCCAATCAAATTTTTAACTAAAAATATTTTTAATTATTCTTCAGCTGCAGTAATTTCTAATTGACTAAAGGTTAAGTGCATGTCAATGTTTTTTTTTCATGGATAAATAGTCATACGATGTAAAAAGGTTAATAGTTCTTTTTTTTTTTAAGCTATTTGATTGGATTTAAAAAGGTGAGAAAAAGAACTACAAAGCCAAAGAAGAAATTATTCTAAGAATAATACTTACTGGCACGATATTTTTCTTTTGCGTGAAATAGGTGAATAATCATCAGAAAGATCTGGTGGAGTATTACACACTGTAGAATCTGTAGAGTCTTGATGATGATGGTGGTGGTGATGGTGATGATGATGGTGCCGATGGTGATGGTGATGAGAATGACTATGGTGAGGAGAAACAGAAGGTTGTTGAATAACTTGCATTGTGGAAGGATTAGATCTATCGGTATGTGGAAAAGATTCTCCAATCACTCCACAAGAGTTTTCAACATAATTGTCATTAGTTGTGCTTCCATCCAGTCGATTACCAGGGTTTTTGGCATCTAATGTAGCAGAACAGGTGGTACTTGTTGAGTTTGTGGTATTACTAACACTAGCAGTAATTGGAACAGTGACAGTATGGGCTGAATTGATAATACTACAACTATTCTTAATATCGTTATCATGAATTTCAACATCATTTTTATTGGTCGATGGCTGCTGATGAATATCCGCACTTGTTGGTGATAATGGAGGTGCAGGAGTGGCTGCTGGTGCTAAGGGTTCCCCAGCTTGAAGTCGATTATTCCCTTGAGAAATGTCACCAAAATAAACATTCGCACAAGAACTGTAAAAAAGATTATTGGTATTAATATAAAAGTTTTTACAACTTGGTAAAATAAAAACATATAAATTAAATAAAATTATATTATGAAAAAAATGATAAAAATCTTAGATAGGGGAACAAAATTATAAACAGGAGGAAGAAAGTTTGAATGTTTGAGAACTATTGATAAATCTATTATCTTCGTAGTAGGTAGTTTATTATAAGATTGATATGCTCGGGACATTCCAAGGACGTCAAGTTGATGTACACTGATGAGACTTATATGTTGTTGCAAGTGCAGCGTATACGTTTGTAGTAACAAGTTCCGTGTAGATTATGACGCAATGATTGCGCGCCCGAGTGATATTATGCGCCTGATAATAATTCGACGAATCATCATTGATTTACTCAGCTAAAGATTATTCTCAAGATCCAATGTGAATAAATTACTAGGTCAATTTTTCACCACTAATTATTGATTTGATCGCCACTTCAGGTGGGTTTTTTTTGTATAATCCATCCATCACATCCGATGTAAATTAAAATAATGATTGTTTACAATCAAAATACAAAGTAAATCTAATAACTTGCATCAAATAACAAAAAGAACCAATATTATTAAACAAAGAATAATTTATAGGATCAGAGAGCTATAAGTTTGAGCATAAAATAAATGAATTTGCTTTAAATTTTTCTTCAAAATTATGTTATCATTTTTGAAATGTAATATAATGTTTTGAAATTCCTCATGAAGCTTCCTTTCATAAATATTTGATTTAAAATGTTTGTTTTGTTACAATTTATATTATCTACGCATTCGCCAGAGTATCTCGGTTAATTCAAAGCAGCAAATAAAATAATCATTTGTCTGAGACAACTAAAACTGCATATCGGATAGTGTTAAGTGGCTACTCGCAAGAATCATGCTTTAAGAACGAGATTTACCAGCGCGATATCGACACCTAGGTGTACTTGATACAAACGCAATCATTTTCGCAACATCCGCAAGTCAAACGCTATGTTTATGTCTTTAAATTATCTTGTATTTAAAAATCTCAAATTAATTCAGATCAGTGGTGAGATGAATCAAAATTATCTTACTTAGAAAGAGTTGATAAATTGTAATAAGTCCTTTGCTGGCTTTGTCCTCCAGACTGATCACTTTGACTTCCTCCATAAAGATGATCAGTGATTGATGAATTAGATACATTTTGACTATGATGATCAGTTGTACTAACTCGAGGACCTAGTTCTTCAAGAGAAATAAATTCTTGTGGCTCTTGTGTAGCATGAAAGAGCTCGTTGTAGCTCTGGGCCATGTCTTGACCCACCATTTCTCGATTATTGTCGTTGCAGCTACGGCAATTTAGGAACTCTTCCAATTCAGATAGTTCTATATTACATTCCTTATTTTTTCTTTCTTCCGGATACAATTTTGGAATTTTCGATATTTCTAGTGGATATTTATGCGTTAAACCAGAATCTTCATTCTGTTTGACCACCATCGGGTCCTCGATGAAGCCAGTTGACGAGGCACCTCCGTTCGACGCCAATCTGTTCTCATCTAAAACATTTTTTCCAATTTCACATTTTCCAATTTTTCAAAAAAATTAATCTTTTTTGTTTGTTTCATTCACAAAAAAGAAATTTATATAAAATTATTTGTTATAAGAATTGGATTTTTTTTATTGCTCTGGATTGTGTATGTTGCAATGAACATTCAATTCAATTGAATTAAATTCAAAGTTTTAAAGTTTTTTGTTAAATTATTCATGAATATAATTATTTTAATTTGTTTCAATTCAAGGTAACATTGAAATAAATTAAATAAAAAATGTAGTTATTTAAAGTCATTAAACTAATAAAATATTTTTTTCTCTTTCTCGATTATTCGGATGATTATTCGATTTTACCTCATACCTATTTATTGGATAATATATTAAGAATTATATTGTGATGATTGATTTACTTATTATATCTAAAATGTTCTTCTTATTGTATATATTAAATTATCATCAACATAAATATCCATCATTGAATAACAAAATAAGATAAAAAAATAAATACAAAAAGTCAGCGATGACAATCTTAATGCGGATATAACGACGATATATGTAAGAGGCCGAGATTTGCGCAACGTTCGAAGTGCACTTTGTCACAACAGTATATAAGACTTTATATTAGATGTCTATAAGATCCAAGATCTATTAATTATTATCTAATCTAACATCTCTTTCATCAATATACAAAAGATGTAATATTGTTACATAGTCATGCAATAAAAACTTACCGAAGAAGCCGTACATCCAGCACGTGAAATTAGCAAGTGAGACCGCATCGTCGTTAGTCCACGAAGAAAAAAGTTCGTGGCCTCGCTTTTCCTGATACGGCCGTTTAAAAAATAATTTGTTTTCGGTCGTTTCTCTTGATCAATTCACAATATCTTTTTTTTTTCTTTTTCGATGACAATACAGTAACTTTAACGTTCTATTAAGCATCTATCAATATTCCCAAACATTCGGAATCTCATCAGACTCTTTCTCACTAGTAGACATGTTGACAGAACTTGGAAAAACTTGATAATTAAACAAATATATTGCAAAAAACACTTTGACAACTCAAAATAATTGAATTATAACTAATAACAAACAAAACAATCACGAGAAGTTGAAAATAATGTTTTAAGAAATATAATCGCACTGCAGTAACGCGAAAACTCGACTGAACAAAATGCGAAAGGTACAGATTGCTGTCTAGCAAACGTAGAATTGAGCCACGTGGTCTTTACGTACACTGGTCGCGCGGTAGACTATATTATTAGTGGATAGTTCGCGCTTCTTGTGCTGCGCTGCAGGTGGGAGTGACTGAAACCGCCCTGCGTAAGAGAGCTTATACGGTACCGACGTCAATTGGGGGTGCTTGGTACCACCCCTTGTGAGCTTACAACCCGCAAAAGCTCACCAACCCGCCTGCTAACCACCACCCATTGTATTTATTGCATCTCGCTTGTCTTCTTTATCTCTCCAATGCATCTGCATCAACATTCAATAATGAATTTATGTCATTCATGTCTTTAAATATACATTTTTTTTTACTTACTTGCTATAAATATTTGTGAGACATGAATAAATGAAGGAATCCAATAAAAAATAGTTAAAAATATTATTGTATATGAATGTACACATGTTGAAAGCTTTTGATACAATACAGAATCCTCAAAAGTTTCTTCTCCATGTACCAGCAAATTTTTCTCCTCTTGTCTCGCTTTGCTTTGCAAACATCTCATGTCACATATGCCTATACTCTTCCCCTTTTGTATATTGAACTTGGGTAGAAAATTTATCATTAAATGGTTTATGAAAAAAGTTGGATCAAAGAAATAATGTTTTATAGAGATAAACAATAAAAAGATAAAATCGATCGAGGTCATTGCATGAGTTATTTATGTGTATGGATCGGTGTGTAGATGTGCATTTAAACGGTATTAATTAACGTTAATCAAGGTAAACAGGGATGCAGTAGTTGCAAACGTTTCTCTTATGGACTTATCCCAATCGTCATTATTGGGGATGCAGCAAGCGTTTGAAGTGACCGTCATCACTTCATCCCCTTCTCCTATTGTCTATCAGATTTAGTCATCCCATTGGTTGTCATTTAAGCTTATTATATATTTTATTTACAATATTCTCTTTTCAATTTTAAATAATAATTTTTTTTAAATAAGCTGCATTTTAAATAAATACTGCTTTCATTTACATCATTTCATTTAGCAATCAATATAATATAATACTTAATTTTTTTTCATCATTGTATTTCTAAAATTGGAGTATTTTTTCAATGAATCTTTAGCATCGCATTGCTATCTCTTCTTACGATTCCAATAATCCACACAGAAATATGAACCTTGTATTTTCTCACAAATATTTTTTTCTTTTTTTCGCGTATCTCTATTTTCACCCCTCATATCTTGATTGGTAAAATGACACCAGTATCTCACTAGTGGTCAGTCTAGTAGAAAAAAAAGAAAACAAACAAAAAATATTCAATTGCATCTACCGAAATTAATTTTCAAAACAAAAATATGTTGTTTATATTTTACTCAATGTTTTTCATCATCTTAAACCTTTTTATTGGCTTTTAAAGATATATATTAATGAATGTTTATATTTTTATGATCTACTAGATGCTAATTATTTTGACGATTGAATGAGCAAATAACGATTGGTGATTAACCCTCGGACGCTTTGGACGTCATCTTCGCTCACGCGACTTGAATAATTGGCAACTAATTTGTAGTCTCAACGTCAGATTGCTCGATGAATCGTAGATTCTTATTAGTAAGAAGAAGATTCATCAGAAAGAAAGCCGAAGAATTCTTTCATCTGAAAAATTTGTAATTGTTTTATTTCTACTATCAAAATATCGAAGTGTAATTTATTAATTAAAATATAAAATACTGCAAGCCCGAGCTCTTATACGAACGTTTCTAAATTTCTCGTTACGTAATCGAAACAGATAACGCAAACTGTGCAACAATTTGACCCAACATAGTTATGTAAACTTGATATACACTGGCTGCAGTTGACGGATCTCGTCTCGTTCTCAACAAACCCTCTAATTCACCTTTATCTCTTCCACCCTTCTTTTCTATCCTTTTCTATCTGTTTCCTGCTTTATTTTATTCTTTCAATCCACGTAAAACAAGTCTTTATGCTTTTCATTGTTTTTGATACTATTATTAATTTTAGTTAATGTGAATTTTTTTATTTACTTGTATTCAATGGTACTGACTTCTATACGTATGAATTTATATGCTTCAAAGATATCACTAAAACGTGAATTGATCAAATTTTCTTGCCAATCCACTAATATTTGTGTTATATATGAGAAATTAACACTTGGCAGCAGTCTTAATTGACCGTATTTGATTTCACATAAGCTGGTCTCTGGGTTTTCAAAGAAAATTTACATTTGAAACCATCTCTCTTGACCACTTTACTTTGAACTGTGTTGAATTTAATCCTGGAAATTAACAATCATACCTGAGTTATACACCGCAAAATTTTCAATAAAATATATTCAGGTATTTTGAATATTTTATTTAAAAAAATAAGTAGTGATAACACCTTCATTACCTTTTACTTAGATACTTATTTAAAATCTTCCAGAACATCTTTGCAATATTTTGTGTTCTTTAAATATTATTTTAATGTTCTTAATTATTCAATTTTTTGGATTCTAAACAAAACTCAATGTCACTAAAAATAAAAATAAATAATTAAAATTAAAAGAGAGAAAAGTGCATAAATTTCAAAATATTCTTAATTTTTTTTGCTTTCTAGAGTATTCTATTTATGATTCACCAGCGAATCAATTTTCGCAAAAAACAGCAAAAAAAATCAACATTTGAAATAACTCGTTAAGCTAAAAAAAAAAAGGGAAATTAACGCGATCGCATTATTGATAATAGAGCATTAACGCGGCTTCCTTACTGGTAATATTACATTACAATGATTATTTATTCAAGGTCTACCACGCGCATATAAGATCAAATACTTGGCGGTATAAGTTGCATTGTGTCATAATTATATGTCTCATCATTCATGTCGACAACCTCACAATCGGTGATTCAGTTTTTCCCCCCTATTAACCTCAGCTCAATAAATTTTATTACATAAGCCGTATCAGACGATTTTTAAGGATTATTTTTAAAAATTCAATTTCTTGCTCATTGTATTTTTATGTTAGATTTTTTTAGTTTCCTCATTTCATAATACTTCCATTATCATCATTATCTATTCATTATTATTACTTAATCATTCAATATCTATAGCAAATCGATTGATTTAACGTATGATTGGGCATTAAACACCAACATAAAATGCACAAACGGTTCAGTGGTTTGGTGGGAAAATGACCGCATTGAAAATCGTGCAAGCTTATGAGGTAACATACGCCGTTAGCGTTAGTACACGCAAGTTGAGTATTGCATAACTTCTAAACAGCCAGCACAAATCCGCTATCGCGACTAAAGATTCAGCTGCACTGCTTGTTATAATTGTGCGTAGTTTATTCACTGTTTCTTACCTAATAATCAAGACAACATAAAGAATATGTTATTATTACAGCACAATTTAATTAGTAATTGATTATCTGACAATAATAATAATAATAATGTAACATACAATAATTATTACATCTAAGGAACCAGCATTTCGTGGTCATATCTACTTCATATTCAGATGAATTCGAAAATTAATGAGTTATTACGTATGCGGTTGGTGTCGCGATACAGAGAGACTGACTGGATAGCTTGAACATAGTCGAGTGTTGTCGGCTGACTTACAACCTATAATTATGTGTATATTAGGAATTGCGACGTGGAAATGCCGAGAAAATTTACAGCCTCACTATAAATGTTTAGTGTTAATGTAAATTAATTGCATTAACTGAGGGCACTTCAAAAGATTTGATGAATTATTTACTATTTTATAAAAAAATCTTTAATACCTTTACTTTCATATAGTAAAATATACATATTTAAAGAATTTGATTAATAACATTAGAGCATAAAGTTATGCTTGTAGCACAGGTCTTTCGTGCTTTCCTTCAAGATTATCATTTACTGCTGCATATCCTGTTCCACCCTGTAATAAATTTAAATAGTATTGTGGTTAGAGTTAATTTTCTAAAACTTTTCAAACATTTTTTTAATGATTACTGTAATGACTCATAGAAATGAATAAATTATTACCCTTTGAAGAGGTATTATATCACTTTCAGCAATTTTTGTACCATCCAATGGATTTATCCAATCCTTTTTCAATATTTTTTCTACGCATTCCATAGTGACTACATCTCCTCTACAAAAGTATAGTTGAAAATTATTTTATTGAAATATTATATATTAAATTTTCTAGATATAAGAATACGTACGTTGTTTTTATAACAGCACATGGAACATTATTGCCAAGAGTATCATGTGTAATTGGACACATATACCTTGCATCTTTGACAATTAATGATCTTTTATCATCTGGATCTTTCACTTCAGTAAACTTTACAGGAATTAAGTGTTTCATTTTTAATACTTTGCCACTAATTGGGCAGTAAATATTTTTATCAGGTTTACTTAATGTTACAGGTTTGGCTTCAGGAGTTTTTGAAGGTATCCAAAAACTTGGTAATGATTTATCACGACCGTTTGTCATGTTAGAAACTGATGCAACAGAAGTATCTTTTGTGTCCTTTGAAGATGAAAGAATATTTTTTTCACTTTTTAAAAAATTTTCCAATTTTTGAAGTTCTTCATTGGCTGTTCGTTCTTGGGATTCTTCCTAAAAAATGTGATAATGATTATTCAGTTTTATTTGTGTTAACTAATAGAACAAAATGATTATTTACCTGTTCTTTACGTTTCTGAGCTTCATATTCTTTCATTTTTCTTGCATATTCTTTCTTCTTGGTAAGAATATACTCCAAAATAGCTTCTTTATCAAACAAATATCCATCACGTCTAGATAGTAAATTTTTTGAATATATCAATATAGCTTCATGAAAATTCAACAGTGGTAAAAAAAAAAAAAATTAAAAACATACGTGACAACAGGATTTCTGCACGGTTGGAGTGTTAAACAACAACAATCAAATCCTTTGACAGAGTCTTTACCAATGCGATGACTATTTGTTCCATAACCTGATGCGGAAGCATCTTTTTTCTTTTCGTGATAAGTATACACTGCTCCTGCGGTACAATTTCGAGCATGACGAGTCATTTTTGTTTGATAAAAGTATTCTGTATTTAATTTAACAATTTAATTAAGAAATTTTTATAAGAAAATGAGAGCACAAACAACACCGAAATAGTAAACATCCGACATCTTGCGTTTCTTAGCCTGCGCCCCTTCAGTCGAAATTCTGAACTAAAAAAGGCGGGAACTCAAATCGCTCTTATTCGATGTAATTAATTTTATTCATTAATAATGAATAATAATTTGAAAAATTTTATATATATTTTTTAAATTTTGATCTAACTACTGGTTTTAACTACATAAATAAATCTTTTACATACTCATAAGTCGGATAGGCATAGTATGCTCTAAAAATGGCGATTTCTGTTCTTACATGTTTACAAACATCAATTATGTCTAAAGGATGATTTTTATTCATTTTGTATTGTTTTAATATTCTCAATAATCATTGTATTATATTTCACCTACATTACTAATTGAGACATAAGGTAAATATTGGTTTGAAAAATATTTGTTTATATTCTATCGTAAGAATTTTTACAGCTCGTTTAGTGACTAATTAAATACAAAAATTGATTATATATATACATATGTATTTTCTACTTTTTTTTAAAACTATAATCTCTAGTAAATATTAAATATCAGAAACAATTTTTTTAATTCAATTTTTCCTTCAAGGTTTAATTCATGAAATTGAAATAATTGATTATTAACGGACAGCTAAATAATTATAACCTCAAACTGATAACGTATTCACTCATCAATCAATTTGAAAACTTAATGATATAGGAAGGTTTCATGTTAAATTGTCAGTCTAAATATTGGTTTTTTATTTATAGCACAAAAATGGATCCCGAGTTCCTTGCAAAATTAATTCCTCAAAATAAAGAGCAAGCTAGACCAGCTTGTAAAAAGTGTGGCTATGCAGGACACCTCACATATCAATGTAGAAATTTTATTAAAGTAGATCCAAATAAAGAAATTGTTTTAGATGTTAGTAGCACGAGTTCAGATAGTGATGAAAATTATACAACACCTTTAACTGAATTGAGAGAAAAAGAATTAAAAACAAAATTATTAGAAGCTAAGAAAAAGGGTAAAGAAAAACATAAAAAGAAAAAGAAATCTAAATCCAAATCTCGTGATAAATCAGTGAGTAAACATTCGGATTCATCGGATTGTGAATCGTCTGATTCTGAAGATGAAAAAGATAAAAAGAAGAAACAAAAAAAGCGTAAAAAAAAATCGAAGCATAAAAAAGAAAAGAAACGGCGAAAATCACATTCAAAAAGCTCAGATTGAAGACATGAATTCGATTGTAAATTTTTATTATTAAAACTTAAAATAATAGTGAAGTTACTTTTTTATAGATCAATAAAAACAATTTAATCAATGACTCATGTATCATAGAATTCAGACTGTAAATATCTTATTAATTCATTTTAAATGTACATGCAAAGTTATATTTTTATAATAATGTAAACTTACTTAATTTAATTGACTCCAAAATAAAAACTGAAAGAATTATTTTTAATAAACTTCGAAACAGCTTTTAACATACTTTTTTATATTATATTTTATTAAATTAATAACTAATTGTTAATTTTTTCAAGATGAAATAAGTGATATTCATCAAATTTTTATGAAAGACAAATATTAGTTTTATTACAATTTTATAAAATCTACTTATACACATTATTACAACAAAATATATTATACAGTATACATTTTATGTGGTATATAATTTATCATATTAATCATAAAGAATTATAGATTCACGATAAAATTCACATTGATACAAGACACATTGAGTAAAAAATAAAATATTTAGAATTTACACGTTGATATCTTCTAGCTACATAATCACAATAATTAAATATTAATTCCAGATTTCTTTGGTTTTTCAACATCTTTATTTTATTACATATTCCTAAATCTATGATGTTGATTTCAACTATTAACAATAAATTTCGTATATTATAAATTATAGCACAAACATATAAATCTTAGTAATACCAATTATAATTTTAATCATATATTTATACATTACATCTTATTTAACGTTAACGTTAATTTATTTGTTTTTGGTGTGATTAATATGAGAATTAAGACGGTTTAACTATTATTGTGAATATGGTCCTCAGAGTTACAAAATAAATAATGTCTCTTTTGGAAGTCATCATCATTTATAATACAAAAGTTGGATAATCTATCATTTACTTTCTGTATAACGTGTGTTCTTTTTTGTCTTATCATAACGACGCAGAAATAGGCAATAATTAAAAGTTGATAGCAACATTGATTATTTTACTTATTAGTTATTGAGTTATTTAGTATTAGATGTTGGTGCCTACGTTATTATTGAGTTGATATTTTAATAATTCTTATTTATTCATACTTATATTACTATATGATATTTATTTTATTAAGTATTCTATTTATTTGAAAATTATTAAAAGCATTGGGCCAAAATGATAAAAACATTACGAGAATATTTTTGGACTGTTTTAAAACATTTTTTAAATTTGTACATTAGATATTACTTACAAAATTGCCGTTGGAATGTAAAAAAATATATGTTTAAAATTAAAGTAAAACATTAAGATCAAAAGGATTAAGATTTTTTTTTATTTTCATTCCTTTTGGTCCCATTTTATAAAATTTATAGATTTTCATACTTCCTGCCATTTACATATATAAAATCTTGTGGCTGCTCAAGAGTAAATTATTAAAATCAGTCTCATTAAATGTGCTCGTTGGCAGGATAATAAATGAGAGCATCGACAGTTCGCTGGAAATCACGATTGATATGTCGAAATAAAATTAAATGATTGATCCAACAATTTGATTTACGTCAATTCCACAATTTCTTTTTTTCTTGTTTTTAATAACTAATATCGATACCAAGTAAAATTGATTTTTATAGTATTTAATTTTATCCAGATTAATTGTTTAAAGAAAAAACATGTTCAACCTAATACTCATTGGGCGGCACCAAATAATAGTAATATATACATATTTTTAATAGGTACTGTGATTTTACAAGTCTTATAATCACATTTTTATGGTGATCACAGTTTTATAAAAGGCATGTAAAATACATCCTCTTGTGATAAAATGTATATATTATAATTAATTATATATTAAACTTTGACAGCAGTTTAAAAAAAATATCAATATTCCAAAGTTATATCAAGTCTAGTATTATGTAGTAGAAATTAAAATTTATCTCCTTAGAGCAACATCATAGTAACCATCGACATCTTTACCTTATGTCGATTATTCATAATAATTTATATATAATATCAAGCCATTCATTATGTGGTTTTAAATGATGAACTGCTTTTCCATAACTTTTCTTCAATAAATAATAAAAAGACCTCTGTTATGTAGACAGTAACTTTTTAAATATATCTTTATAATTTATTACAATGACAAATATGAATATATATATTTGATTAATATTATATTGTCATTCTATAAAAAGCTGTAGTTTTGTTTTAACATGTATCTCTAATGATTAAATGCACGCAGGACTCGGAAACGTCAATAATTTTATATATTAGTTTGTAAGTGCGTGTGGCCCTCAACGTTTTTTTTTCTCATAAAAGTTTTACGAAATTTATTTCGAACCACCTTCATTTTACCATAAAAGACAATAAATAAGGGGAGATGGAAAGTATCGTAAATAAATAAACATTATGTCGATGGCTATAGTGGACGGAGCGAGGAGATTCGTTGATTGATAATAGTTTACGATACCAATTATCTAGGGAATATCCTATAAATTCCAATAAAAAATGGTTCATTCGATATATTCTGTTTCAATCAACAGTTACTTTCTTAGCTCATACATTCAATTCAATACATACTCGCTTTTATCAGAATTTATAAGAAAATTCAACAATCGAGTTGGTTAATACTGAAAGTAATAGAAAACCTATAAAATAAAATTGACTAACGGAAAAATAATAAAAACAATTTTTAGAGTTCATATACGTCTCTGCCATTGGGTCGAGTAATATTAGGACGACATGAAGCAGGACTTGCATAAGAATGAATAATGTGAACTCGTAACCTGACATCACCAGAAGATCTGGAGCCATCGCCTCTTGGTCTTCGAGAAAAGCTCACTGTTGTTTTACAACAACAGTAATGAAATAATTTGATGTATGCATTTCTAAAGTGACGATCAAAAACGCAGTAAAGAAGATTATTTATGCATGACTTGGATAATGCAAACCAAGCAAGATTATAAAGAACTCTTGCGCTCGTGGGTTTCATAGCGCTTATGGTGATAGATGTGCCAAATGGTAGCCAGAAGATCGTAAAAAGAACAAAGCTATATATATTAGTCTTTGTGAGCTCATAATCCCAAGAAAAAGTGGCTGGAGGCTTGAATGAACCCCTTATTGCACGACGCACGCGTAAAACCAGTCGAAAATATAGAAATATCGTCAGCAAAGCTGGAAATATCACAAAAATACAAGCTCCTATTACCTGTGGTGTAGCAATACCGTGAAATTTGCGTCCACAAAAATCTGGACCAAGATCCAACGATGATTGAAGTGCTACTACCATCCCAGCAATCACCCAAATTGTGATTATTGTTGCTGTTACTCTAGTTGTAGTAAGAGCAGAGTACCTGAAATAAACAATGTATTTTTAAAATGATGATAGATTAAACAGGCCAGACGATGATTAATTATCTATATTTAGCCATCAATTCATCTTCTGGGTTCTATTCATCCAGTAATATATCTACGTTAGTTACACAAAAAATATAAAATAATCTGACTCACTTTTTAAAATTATTTATTCTAAAAATATCAATTCACTAATAGCTTTCAAATTATTCCTTACTTGTCGTGAGGAAGGCAAAGCCGTGCATAATTTTCTCCAGCTATTGTTGCGAGAGTTAACACAGTTACCAAGAAACATAGAGCTTCAAGAGTCCATTCAAATCGACAAATTCCCGGTGACTCTTCATGACCCGCAAGAATTACAATTGCTGATGCTGGAATTACTAAACCAGTTACTAATAGGTCTGCCAATGCGACATTTACTAAAAAAGCATTGCCTACAATATCATAAAAAGAGATTAATTAGTACCTTTAATCTTTTATCATACAAAAATATTGGAACAAAGTACTTGTCAATTAAAATTTTAACCTTAGACCTTTCATTACAAAACTGAACTTTTTCTTAATACGATTCTAATAGTACATTTTAATCAATAAATATTATCAACTAAAGTTTAAAAACTATAATTAAAACTATTAGATCAGATAATAGATTACATCCAACATATTAATTTAACTCTACAGTAATAAGAATTAGAAAGTTAATATTATTGAAATGTTAATTAAAATTTTTAATTAAATTAATTATAAATTAATGATTCCAATCTATTAATTATATATCTACTTGATTAATTATTTCATTTATTACTTTATTCATTGCAATTATATTATGAATGATAGAATAATAATTTCATGCTATATAAAAATCTAAATTCGATACAATAAATTACCTTTTTTCTTCAAATGATCCTCAACCATAATAGCTGATATCATAAAAACATTCCCAACACTTCCAACAACTGCAAGCGAAGCAAGTAGTAAGAGTCGAGCCACTCTCGACCAGTCAGACGAAAGTGTCACAGGTGAAACATCAAGATCTCCATCAAATAAATTAGTTTTACCCCTATCCATTGCAATTTTTACATCCATTCCTATTATTCCAGCCAAAGTACTTGTAATACGATCACGATCAGTACTCGTTGTCATCGTTATTGCAGCTACTGTTGTCACAGTTGTAACTGTGGTTGTCACGTTCATTCTGAAATTCTATTCAACACATGAAAGCTATTAATTTTTCTCAGAGTGAATAACGGTTATTGAATTGTCATAGAATATAATTACTTGTTTCATAAAAGCTATCTAAAAAAAGCTTGGTATTGAGCCTTTGAATTAAATCAATTTTTTATATTAAAAAAATAATAAATAATGACTAGATAGAAGAAAGACTCTATTGGAAAATAAAAAGCTGTAAGCTTTTCAAAGATGTTCTTTTGACAATTCCTATTATGATCATTAGTACGTCTTTATTATGCGCTTCCAATGAAATGAATAAAGTAACAACAACAACTGTAGATAAAAGCCATGAAAAGACGAGTAATTAATATTTATAAAAAACATTCCAAAAATATAACATCCCTAACATAAACCGCAAAATATATCCATTTATCTTTTCATAGGCGATAGGCGATACGTAGATGAAATGATTAATTACGTTGATGGAAAAATTCATGACATAGTTCAATGGGAACATCTGAATAGAGGATAATCTAAAGGGACATGAGAATGACGAGGTTGCCCACTGAGTGAACTCTTCTCATTATTGAGAGTGGATCGACTATATAAGGTCAACATGCTTCTCAACTTGAGTGTCGGCATGTAATCAACGATTAATCGGATTGAGTAAATGAATGAAAAAATCCTTCACGTAAATGAGTTTGAAATATGTAAATGCGCAACAGGCAGCAGCAAAATGCAATCCATTGGCTGGGGAATGAAATTAACGCTATCGAATTTCTTCTAGATGAGTCGGTGAATGTTCGAGCGTCGAATACAACACGAAAACGACCTGGAAAGACCACCGACCGGCTGGTCGGTTTAGTTAGACAGCTAGAAGGGTGGTAGTGGTGGGTATGAGACGGGAAGCTGTATCGATTCGATGGTTTGCCGGGACCACCGCCTTTTGCTAACCCTCTCTTACTCTTGGTTTTCTCCCTCTTTACACGTGCTCTTTCACTATATATTTCATATTTATTTTTATTTATTACCAAAGTATTTTTCATTTCCCCTAGAAAAATAAACAACCCAATAATCACTTTACTCGTCATAAAATATTTAAGTTTTTTTTATGGAAAAATGTTAAACTAAAAAATCAGCAAAATTTCAATTAATGAACTAGGATCTGTATTTTGTTAAATATTTTACAAATATGGCGATAAAGTAGTGATTGTTGTGAAAGCAGGCTAATTACTCTCGCATGTTCAACTATCACGCGTGTTTTCCTTTCCTGACATCCATGTACGAATTACCTTTTAATCATTTTCAGGTGTGAGTTACTACAATTTATCGCAGGTAAATCTAAAATTAAAAAATTCATTTAATAAGAATAATAGAAAGATGAGCAATTTTTAGAATCATTTTAAAGGTTCAGATCAAAAAATAACTGAGGGCGTTGCACCTTCGTGTCAACATCTCTTCTAGATTATTAATGTTATCAATTTATTATTTCTTATATCGACTAGATACCGAAGTTATTGATCCAAAGGAAATCTAACTATTATTTCAAATAGCTCAAAATCACGCCACTATTTTATTTCTCATGTTAGGATTTATAATTCTTGTATGAAAACCAAGTTTTGCATGTTCTGAAACATCTCGTGTGTTTATATGCTAATAAGAAATAATTTATCTATAATAGAAATCTACTTACGTGTTTTATTTTCTATTCTTGCGATAATTTTATAAATGAATAAGTAATCATAACACTTTAAAATAACTTCTGACTTTTGATATTATTTTCTAAATTCATTCTTGTAGGGTTTCCAATCACTCTTGATGTATTTATGCACTTTCAATTATTTAATCTTACTTATTCTGAAACTTTTCATCAACTCGATCAAATGCAATCAAAGTCCTCATACCGGATAGATTTAATTTCACAATATTTTATAATATTTGAATTCATCAACTAGAGTAGTTGGATATTCATTAATATTTTTGATATTTCAGATCATTCGTTCGGCAGATCTTTTGTTTTTTAATTGATTCAAATAGATTATTAAAATTTATTTTTAATCATTAAACAAAATTTTTACTATTTTTATTTATGAAAAATAAAATGTCAAAACCTGTTTTTGGAATATCAAGTTAGCAATAAAATATCACCGGGTAACACGCACTAGTCCACTGGTTGATTGAGAACTGATGTCTAGAAATGATGACAGTGCTCGCATGTGTACACACCCGTGTAAAAGACCGCACAACACCAAAATGTTGGAAGCGCAGGCGCCAAATTACCACTTTTGACCTATTCGCTTGTTGCATATCTATGTATTTACACGTACACCTCTGTAATATTTCATTAAAAAAATTCAAATAAAATTCCTATTATAATAAGTAACAAAATAACTTATGACTATTTATGGTGATAAAAAAATTATACCAACCACCTTTTTAGATATTAAATAATCATTTTCATTCATCTTGATAGTATACATTGTTTTCGATACAAATAAATAATTATTTATGATCATCGTATGAATAAGTGACTTGATGTTTATTATATATATATATAAATAATGAAATAAAATACTACACACTCATAATAAATTAAACTACCAATATTAAATTTTGATTGTAATCTACTGATAAAAAATGTCAAGATCCTTATAAAATATTAATATAAATATTATAGATTGATTTTGAACATTCACTTAATTAATTTCCAATTAATGAAATTATTATTTAAACTTTATCTTATTTTAAAAGTAATTCAATACATATTACTTATTATAAGAATACGAATAATTAATACTTTATGTATACCATTGCTGCCCGACAACAATCAAGTTTAATTTATGCATGAACACGTCTGCTGTATGGAGACAAAAGCATTGAAGGAATGAAATTTTTCCAGTATCTTGGCTGCTAATAAAGCTGTGAAAAATTGAAAAAATCGTATTCATTCATTCAAATTCTACTAAATTTAATTTAATGAAAAAAAAAAAAGAAACAAATACATTTTAACTCACTTTTTTCATGAACGTTCCGACAATTCTTCAAAATCTGGAAATACATACATAACGGAATTAACAGATTATCGTGTGTATTAAATATTCATAAACACGGTATTGTAATAATATTAAATCTTCCATGACGATTTTTAATCTTCATTGTTGACAATCGTATGAGAATAAATAAGAAAAAATTTTGCATAGAGAAAAAAAATATGAAAGGAATAAAATACAGTTCATAACTCATACCTTCAGGTAAAAATTGTAATCTTCTTTGTTGAACAATTATTGAAGGAGATATTCTTGGTTTTTTTTTAGATGGCTCTTCAATGTTGTTAAGAAATGATCTTCGAGATTTCCGTTGAATAATGTCATCAGTTTTGTTATCAGCCGTTCTATCTAGTGAAATTAGCCTGGAAGTTGTTGATGACACATTGGCAAATATGGAAGATGCAGCATGTTTTTTATCACTATTATCTAAAGCTTCTGTCCTTTCATTGATACGATTATCATGATTTTCTTCTCTTTTCATGGTTTTAGGTGAAGTTGAATGTGTTGGAAGAAATATAGGACTAGGTAAGTCTTGTTTAATACTATGAGTACATTTATAAATACTCTCAGAATTTTTATCATTTATATCTTCGGCGTACGATGATAATTCGAAAAAGGAGTCACTTAATTCACTATTTTCAAAAATATCCTTATTTGTATAAGTACTATTATTATATTGGCAGTCACTATGAATATTTTCAACATCGATTGATGTTGTTTTATTTATTTCCAATAAAGATTCTTTACTTTTGCTCAAACCCAATGACGTCATATAATTTTTTTTCGAGGAAATCTTATTATCTTTATTTTTCCTGGTGAGTCGAGGATCGACGAATTGATTGCTTGATAAAATAATGTCTTCTGGAGCTTCTATATTTGCTAAGTGATAATCAAAAAGAAAATTCCAATTTGTGTTAGCTTTTTTAATAGGTGGAGAAACTTCAAGAATTTTTTTATCCACAGGCATAGTAGTATCCCCATGTAAAATACTATCTAAAATACCAATATTTTCATATTCATCAATGCTATCAACTATTGATATATCACAAGAATTTTTCAAAGCCGTATTTATATCAACCGCACTCTCTTCTGGTTCTGGCTCAAAATTTTTATGAATACAATCATCAGAATAATTAGTGACAATGTCAAAATCTAATTTGTAATCCGAATATCCAAATAAACTATCATCATTCCACAAAATGTCATTATTTAAAATATCTTCAGAACTAACAGTTGTTGAAACTGGGCACATATCTAAACTACTTAAGCTATTGGAATCATTAATATTACTAATGGCACGTTTTTCATACTCTGTATCATATTTCTTACTTTTACAAGAGTTACTCGGACTTGTATTTTGGTTTTCATTCACAGAATGATTTATTTGTAGAGAATACTCAGCGGTATTAGGAAGTAATGAATCATTTGTTACCTTCTTACAATTATCTTGAATAACTGAACTAATAGCATTAACTTCTGTACTATTTTTATCTTGGCACAATGGAAAATTCGAAGGTTTCGTACTCTCACTTATTTCATTAACAAATAGAGGTTTATAATTCGGTAAAAAATCGGTTATATATTCAAAATTTTCTGTACTGTGAGCATCCACTATTTCCACATGATTTTTTAATTTCCCATTTTTCTTTTTCACTTTTTCTTCATTTATTATTTTTAACCACGTCAACTTTTTTTCTTTCGATTTTTTATTTTTTTTCTTGCTTCTATTGTTCTCCTCGTCCATTTCGTCAATTGTTAAATCGATATGTATTACTTCGCCTGGTATTAATTTCCGGTCTTTACTGTTTTTCACATTTCTCACAGTTGTTTTAGAATATAGCTGACTTCGCTGATGAATTAAATCTCTCGCGAAGTATGATGGCATATGCTATGGACCAGAATCTATATGAGGTTGATCAATATTACAAGAAACTGCTTTATAGATACTTTCTTCATACTTTGAAAATTCTAAGCAACATTTTTTAATATCCATTAAATCTGTTTGCATCCACCAAAGAGTTTTATTCTTTGTGTCACTCGGTACAGCTGGTAAAATATTGCGAAAATCTTTTAAATCCAATGGATGATATCCAAGAATCATAACAGCTAGCTGATCAATTTTTTTCTTCTCCTCAGTATTTTCTTTAAGGCTTTTCCAAAGCTTTAATGCTAATAAATGTCATACATAAGATAGCTCATTGTTGGCCACATTAGCCTTAATGATATGGAAGCATTTATCGAAAATTGGCTCACAAATTTTTTTACTGTGCTGAGATAATAATTTACATTTGAATAAAACACGGAAAATATGTTGTATTGAGCTGTCCAAATATACATATAAAATATTAAGTAGTTTAGAAGTTATATTAGGCAAATTATTTATATCCTTTTCTGTATCAGCACTTGAAATTTTTAATTCCACATCTAAATAGACAGCTAAAATATCTGTCATTTTATTTAAATACAAAGTGTGATCATCTACCTGTTCTTTGATATTTATCCAATAAAAATAAAAAAATGCTATCATCTGAGTAATGTGATTACTCAACTCTGTTGGCCGCAATGATCTTGTAGTATATTGCATGGCTTCAGCAGTTACGTTCTTTAGATATATACAAAGCAAGTTCAAGAGAATTTCGTATTTTTGGCATCCTACAGATAAATAAGCTGCTTTTTTAAACTTTGAAGACCAGTCAAATTCATCTGTAGACTTATCATCTTCATTGACTTTGTTTTTAAGTTGTTTGTTTATATAAATATCTGAATGTTTAAGGGATGAACTTGAATCAATTTCTACTGTAGACATGACTCAAATGCCTGCAAAAATAAGAACAAGTTAATCATGATAGATAAAATATTAATTTATTATGATGTCCATGTTTTGTTTCACAACTCACACTTTAATGAATATTCTTTTAATCACAAAATCAGGTCTCTGTTATGAAAAACAATGTAGGGAAAATTTAACACTATTGATATCTAGTCAGCGGCAATTATTATGTGTGATTTATTTATCAGCTCGGTAAATTATTTTTAATTTCTTTTAATACAACTTTTGTTGAATTATTGTTACATGTTAACTGTACCAAAACTGCCATTACCGAATTACATGAATTCCTTGAACCACAGATTTATAAGTTCGGAGTGCCATGAGAATCGCAATAGTGAAAAACCCATTACCGGTATTTCTATCTAATGTCGATAATATTTTTTTGTCAATTCGAGTAGTGAAATAATACTGTAGATGGCGGTAATAAAATATTCTGTAACATAAAATGGACACAAATGCTGTTTGATTTTCTGTAGGAGGGTATTGGAATCGGAACCATTGAGATACGCACTCTGGTGGTTAAAATTTTAAATCGCGAGAGTAGGCTCTAAAATATAAATAAAAATTATACATTAATTTATTGATAGTCAAAAACAAATTATTTAGAAGTTTCTCAACAATCTAAAAGAATTTCAATAATTATTGTGTATGCTAAGTTTGTATAATTTCACGAGTGAATAACGGCACCAGATGTCGCTTAGTTTACTTTTCATCGTGAATCTGCGGCCCGTTTCACTGAAGTGACATGGCGTCCGGGTAGGAAGAAAGTTGATTGTTAAATAAGCGTTAATGTTGTTTTTATGACATTAATTTGAGCTCAAAAATATATCCGAGACCGCGAATTTTTCACAGACACTGGCATTGATGGTAATGCATGCAAGGAAACCACAAAGGATCAGCGATGGGTAAGCCCAAGAAGACTATTCCACTTAAATTATATTTTTTCCCCTCCAAGTTTCACTCTGTGGCTCCTGTATTAACACTGATCAATTTTATCGACACGTACTTTTTCTATCATCATATTTATTATACTTCAATTTTTTATCCTTTTTATTTCATTCTTCTATAATTATTCTTACATTTTTATTCCCTAGCCAGCTTTACTATTTCTTACTTTCCTCTTCTCATTAAAATCCTCACGTAGACACAACCGCCATTGAATTTTTCTTTAGTTTTATATTTTCATTAATAGTCGTATTTGTGTTCATTAAATAATTTTTTAAAAATTTATTGTTATTCTAATATTAATCTATTTTGTCTGATTCCAGGTACTTTGAAAAGCACCAGGCCCATCCCTATCAGGTAAATATTGAACAAGAGTTCAATCTTGGGAGGGGATGATATAAATTTTCAGCAATTATTGCTTAGTAATTATTTATTCTTTTAATTGTTTCGTCAATTAAGATAAAGTTCTGTTCCCTGGGAATACTTCAAAAAATTAATTTCTTAATCTCAAAACAGTTTTTATATATTGAATGATTATGTTAAACAGATTGTCAGACTCTTAAAGTCTTTTATGTCCAACACATCAATAAATACAGTTGTTTTTGGGTTTTCTTTATCATTATCATCAAATTACATGAAAAATGAACACTTCAAAGACAATTTTAGCATCAAATTAACATTTTTTAGAACAAAAAAATTTGTCTTTTTTGTTTAGTTTTTTTTCAATATTATGATCTATATTTCAATATAAAAATATTATTGTGTACTTTACTTATTGAAATACAATATTCAAAAAATTTATTTTTCAACTAATTACTAATTATGAAACAAAAACAAAGTATTTGTCATTGTATATATTGTTGTATATTTCAATCTTTTTATTAGTCTCATAATTTATTACTATGTTTTTATAGATATTATTCAATGTTTTGTTCGAGAGAATTTATGAATTTTACTTAATTTTCAATTTCTTAAAAAGTAAAATTGTGTTAATGACATGACAGAACATAACCTCTCTTTTTGAAAAATCAATAATTCTTATAGTGTTGAAGTACTTGATTGGAAATATTTTATTATATCATATAACTTTCAATTGAATTTATTTTCTTTTGAGTTAATCTATAAAATTTTTAATTACATGAATAATTGATCGATTAATAATAAATTTGTATAAACTCTGACAAACAGAACACTAAGTATAGCGGTTCCAAAGGCTACCCTTCATCAGCCGTATCATCAGACAGTCGTTACGAGCAGCGAATGCGTGATTCTCCAAATGGCAATTCGTATAGTCCAGCTGGTGGACTGGGAATTGGCATGCCAGTGGATCGCGAAAGTCCACGAAGCTACACAACCAAACCTCTTTATAAGAAGGAGAGAGAAAATAGAGACTACAAGTTATCTTCTTCGAGAGAAAAGTATTCCGGTAAAAATTTCGACTTTTTATTTCAACATTAATGAAGATGATTAATTATTGTGCATAAAAATGTGATTTCGTTCTTGAGATAGTCTTTAAACTGATTTTTAGAAATGTTGAATATTTTGAAAATAATTTAAAGAACTTAGGGTAAAAAAGATGACATATCTTTGAAAATTTTCAGCTTTAACATGCTTATATGTGTAGATTGTGCACGATCTCCAAAAGACAAAAGAAGCCGTGAAGGACGAGACTCGGAGCACAGGACCAATCATGATAGGAGTGGTGGAGAGGTAAGATAACATTTAATAAGTTAATATTTATTTATAAAATATAAGCTGGTGAAAAATGCTATAATAGTCCTAGCTTATTTATATATTACTTTTGAATTAAAATATATCTGTTTTTACTAATAAAATATTGTTTTTTGAAGATCTTACATCCCATAAAATTATCATCAAATTCATCAAGAGATTCATCACAGCGGAAACCAGCACATAATTCATGTCAGGTAAATATTAGTTACATAAATAGTACATAATCTGGTAAAAACAACATTTAAGAGAAATTAACGAATTATTTTAGGATAAGCGCGGAGATGAACGAGGTGGTGCGATGGAAAGAGCAGCCAGGTTTGGCGACTGGTCAGAACATTTGAGTTCTTCGGGTAAAAAGTATTATTACAACTGCAAAACAGAGGTTTCTCAGTGGGAAAAACCACGAGAATGGATCGTCCGAACTGACAGTAGGCAGCGTCAATCGAACGATTATTCATCTAGGTCAAGTACGTATTTTTCGCATCAATCCTGCATTTATTTTTTTCATTCCACTTTGAACTCTGTTCTAATGGTTGTAAATATCTTATAGGTCACGACAAACATTCCAACTCGCGTTCAAATAGTAGCAGTAATGTGCGGGATAGTAAATCATCTTCTCGACAGACAGAAAAACGTGAATATTGGAGCTCGTGTTCAGCTAGTAATACTGCGGGTGGTAACAGTGTTGGTAGTGGCACGAGTAGAGATGAAGTGGGTTCGCGAGAACGTGAAAAAGAACGCGATCGTGAACGAGAACGAGATAGAGAACAGCGGGAGCGAGAACGTGAACGAGAACGAGAACGTGATCGTGAGCGTGAACGAGAGAGAGAATCATCTCGAGAAGAAGTTTGTGGAGAACGCCAAGCACAGGATATGGACATTTCTCCAGGAGATTCAACACCCACGTCAGAACCGCAAACGTCGAGTGCTCATGAATCACTGCCACAGGGACCTGTACTTCTTGCAACAGCGTTACCACGACTAACATCGCATCCCCCCACAACACCACAAACACCCGGTAAACTGTCCAGTTCCCCAACACTCACGCAACCTGGCAGTAGTAATGCACCCGGACCGCCAGTCACTTTGGCCAATTTACCTAGACTTTTATCTCAAATAACTGGAAGTAAAGATCAGAATGATATTGCTTCACAAAAAGCACTTCAGACAATCCAAACAGCTCTTTTCCTGTCTCGACAGGTAAGTTAAAATTACATCTTTAAAAGTTATTCATTCTCATTTAAAAATATTTTTGAATAACTATAAAATTATTTATTACTTATAATTGTTTCGAGCAGTCAGGAAGTAGTAGCAATGACCGAGCAGGTGGAAATAGTGATGTTATGGCGCCTCTTAAAGTGGATACTAGTGGCAATGTTACACTAACAAATGAGGGACCACCGACTCCGACGCATTCTGAAACTCAGGATTGCATCGATGCTCGAAAGTGTAAGTATAGTTATTACGTGAAATCAGATAACACGATTCTCGTGAAGACGAGTATATTTATTTATTTTTAATGATACTTAGTAGCAAGCCCTGGAGGAGGAAATGTTGGTGTTCAAGGTCTTAGCTCTCTTCAAGGATTGAGTACACTAGGTTCTCTTAGTAATCTTGGTAATAGTGGTGGTCTTCAAGCACTGTCGAGAGTACAACCACCGCTAACACCTTCTCTCACTCCATCACTTGCTAACCATTATAGGGAAGATTTAACACAGCATGTTCGCGCTTTTCCAGCAGATATCCTGGAAAAACAGGTAAGTCATTTTTTTAAATGTTGAAAAAATGATCAATATTTAGTATAATAATTTTCATGATTTCCTTATCTGTTTGAAGGCCCAAAAGCTAAGTGAAGAAGCTCATACAATGGGTAGTTTACAGTGTACAAGAGTTTCCGCAGAGCTTAAGACTGCACGATCAATAGTAAGGCTCACAGAAATTCAAGCAACACTTCAAGAACAAAGGTAAGAGTTAATAATTATAATGAATAGTGAAAATGAAAAAATTTTAATTTGAAAATAAATAAAAAATTATTTTTATAGGATATTATTTCTTCGCCAACAAATTCAAACATTAGAGGAATTAAAATCACAAAATTCCTTTATGTCTGACGATTCTTAGTGTAAGGGACTTTATAAAAGTTAATTAATTAATAATATTAATAAAAAAAAAATAATGATAATAATGATTAAAAACCTTTAGATAATTCACGCAAGTAAACAAGAGTAAACATAATTAATATTCTCATTAATGTTAAAAATAATTAAGAAATGTACCTAAATTATATCATTAAAAATAGAAGTGATATACATTAGCGAATGATGATTGGTCTGCCTAGAGAGGATAGGCTTTGCTTGTCAATCGTTATAATTTTTATCATTATCATAAAACGATTCGATTTTGTTACTATCGTTTTTTCATTGTCATTACGTGTCATCATTACACAAATATTTGTCATTGTGCATTTTCATTAAATTTATAATGTTGTTATAGATAATTAAAAATAAGTATGTAATTCTATACTCTGGGAAACGCACTAGGCCTATCCCCGCAAAGCAGTAACGAAAATCATTCGATTTGATGTAGGGGAAAAGTGTTAAGTTAGATTGTATTAGGACCATTGGTTCTAATCTGCAAACTGTACTGAATTGTATATTTAAATTCACATTATCTTTATACTACTTGTGTTGTATATGTCAGTGTTTCGTATATGGAGCAGCATTTTAATTCGTTGATTAAAACGATGAAGAAACAAAATTATTTGTTGTAAAACTAATAATAAAATTCATATAATACGGTTTAGGATCACATGATTTACCATTTTATTCACATTTTTATATACTTTTTTAATTCATTTGCTTGGTCTTATCTCTGTTGATTGTATGACCAAATGGTCACTGTATTAAATAATAATAATAATAATAATAATAATAATAATAATGATAACTATAACAATAAAATTAATAATTATTAAGTCTTGCCACCAAATTTCAATAGGCTTGTTCCAATCGTCATTTGTAAAAAGAAGTAGTAATAAATTGCGAAAAAGCTTTTTTGAGTACATAATTACTGATTTTCATTTTTTTCATCACTAAATATACTATCAATTATTGATTATTGATTAATTATTACCTGAACTACTATTTTTTACACTTGGATTTTAATAATTCTCTCTATTACTAGTGAAAATAGATTATTTGTATTTAGTATTATTTGGTTAAGAAGTTTGTTAATACTTTAGCTGTATAAAAAAAATAATATTCGTTAGTAAATAGATTTCTCAATTACCATGAGAATAAATAACAAAATCAACGTTTACCATTACAACAAATTTTTATTATAATAATTAGTCTGAATCAAAAATTAATAAACGAAGATAAAGGAAATCGAGGAAAATGTTTATAACTATGGAATTACATGAAACACTGGAAAAAAATGAAAATTGAAAAATAAAGATAAAGGTAAATCGAAAGAGTACTCATTATTCAAGACCATTTATAAATTATTTTTTACACCAATATGATTTTTAAGTTTATTTGTTTATTACTATTTTATTATGTTCACTTGGTATTTGATCCTACAATAAAACACTTAGCATAAATTTTTAATTCTAACGAAAATGGCATTCAGTTTTATATTTACTTATAACATTATCATCATTCAGTTATATAAAAAAAATATAAAATTTTATCTACTCAATGGAAACGATTGGGCAAATCGCATTTTATTTGTACTATCCGAATGCCATTTTAGTATTATTTTACAATCTTTTCTGCTCATTTAATTAGTTTATTCAACTTTATTATTTTTATTCTGGAAAATAGCTTCGTGATGTTTTAAACTTTTTTTTCTCATTCATGAAGCTTTTTTCAGAAGATTCCTAACTAAAATACAATATTAGTATTTTTAACGTAATGTTTTCTTGCTTTATTATTTCTTTTGTTTATTTAATTTTATTTATAATAGTGAATTTTAAACCGCTGATAATCACTTGAGACGTTACCTTAACTTGCAACAATTATGTTTTATTAATAAAAAATAATTATAATTAATCACAATAAAAAAACATGAATTAATTATCAATAAATTACCTGTCTTGTATCGATGTTCCGAAAATCATTAAAACATTCATACAACAATGTATGATGTTAAAAATAACTATTACTTCTTTTGATATGTATACATAAATGAAATTACTTACGTTTTATAACAGTATTATTTTTTATTTTCAACAATACTTGTCGCAAGTTCTTCGTATCGCCAATTACTTACCTTTTACGGATATTTTGAAATTTTTCGGTAAATATACCCGTTTTTATGAAATTTGTTGATATAATTTTCTGCTTGTCATCTTTTGACAACGTCGTTTTATTCCAATTGCAATATAATTATTATTAAGCTCAACATCGAAAACGTTGATAACATCTTTGTGCAACTAAAAATTTCTTTATACTACCGTCATCATTGTTGTCATCGTCGCATTTAATTTAATTATGAAGCTGCCTACTACTGTTTTTTCGTTAATTGTATTTATTTTGCATGAATATCATTTGTGATCAAAATTTTATCAGATGGTATTCTTTGCTGTAGACAATATATGATTTTTATCCATGCTTATAGCTTTTTTTAATATTTCCCTTCTTACAATAAATAAAATTTTGTCATAACTAGTAGCAGAATTACAATCACTGATGAGTTTTTATTTATAATTACTATTCTTTTTTTTTATCTTTATCAATAATTGTATGCAACTTAATAATTGCTATAATAATTCTCTGGCAACTTTTATTTTCACCTATTTTTATCACGATTTTCCGTTAATATTAAAATCTCATGCGAAATTTTAATGGTTTTTCGTCAAAGAATATTCTCTCAAGTGGTTCTTGCAGGCATTCTTCTGACTGCTTTTTTTATTTTTCTGGGTGGTTGAGGTTGTGCACTGTAACAATAATATTTATTAATTATTTAGGTTCTTAATTTTAAAATTGACATATAAGTAATTAAAAAATAGTTAAATTACTCACTTAAATGCAGTTGGTGCACTCCCGCCTGTAAAATTAAATGATGGCTTTGTATTCGGATCAAAGTTTACTGTTGTTTGAGAACTTCCTGCGTTGAAATTAAAACCACCTGAAGGCGTAGCTGGAGTCTGAAATTTAAATTAAAGTTTGATTAATAATTCAGCTTGTGCCAATATATATTTTTTTATTTATGATACATTATAAAATCAACCCATTACTTACAACACTTGCATTAAAATTGAAACCACTGGAAGCTGTTGCAGTAGAAGATCCAGTACCCGGTGTTTGCGCTCCGAAACTAAAGAGTCCACTAGAACCTGGAGTTGTTGAAGTAAATGAACTTGCAAGTGTGTTTTGTCCCATATTTCCAGCAGTTTGGTTATTGAAAAGAGAAGGAAGTTGAGTAGTTGATGTTTGTCCGAATGCAGGAGGTGCCTCTGGTTTAGGTGCATTGAAAGTAAACGGCGATGGTGTAGGATTGTTAGTACTTGATGTTCCAAAATTCGGAGTACCAAACCCGGTACCGGGTGTAGGTTGGGCTGGTGTTGCTATATTATTTCCGAAGACGAATGGAGATTTTTGAGATGAAGAGTTTGAATTAAAATTAAATCCTGTCGCAGTATTTTGTTGAGGCGGCTGTGATGGAGTTCCACCAAATGAAAATAATCCTGGAGTGTTATTTACTGGAGTTGTTTCAGCAGGCTTTACTGATGAAAAAATATTTGATGTTGTTAACGACCCCGGTGTTCCAAAGCCTGAGGGAGTGTTATTGCCGAAAAGAATTGTTCCAGAACCAAACATAGGAGTAGTAGAAGCTGGAGCACTCGTTGGGCCTGCTGTAAATGCTGGTGTAGCATTATTAATAAATCCTGATTTCTCACTTGTTCCAAAAACAGGAGCACTTGCAGGCGTTTCAGGAGGTTTTGGTTCAACTCCAAACACTGGAGGTTTATTTTCCACTGTGAATCCTGAACTTTTATCTTGTTTATTGATAGAAGTTTCAAATGGTGAACTAGTTATTTTATCCTTTGAATTATTTTCTGAAGTTGTAGATGACGAAGTAACTCCAAAAACTGGTGGCGCAGTTGTAGATGATGAAGTACTACCGAAATTTAATGCTGGTTTTTTCCCTGGTGGACTCGCTTGATTTATTTCCGAAAACTTAGGACTAGTGAATAAGAATCCACTTGAGGTTGACGTTGCATTTGTAATATTTGTAGTCGAACCTTGTTTAAAAGTAATCACTGGTCGTTCTGGAGTTGCTGACTTGGAAATTTTAGGTTCCGAAAAAGTAAAAGAAACTTGATTACTACTTGAAGGTGCTGAAGAAGTTTCTGTATTATTGCCAATACTTCCAGCCACAGATCCTGGTGGGACGAATGAAAAGGGTGAAGGCTTTTTTGCTTCTGTTGATGTTATCTGTTGATTGGTTACTGGTGCAGTTGAGGTCATTCCTGTATTCAATGTAGTTGAATTTGAAAATATCATTTTGGGTTGAGTTGGTTTTTCTTCTGAATTTTCGGATTTGGGAATACCAAAAATTACTTGTGAGGATTTTTTATCTGGTTTGTTATTTCCTTGTTCAGAACTTTTTTCCTCTTTTTTAGGTACTCCAAATGTAAATCCTTGGCTAGATGGTGGATTAATACATGGTTGACTGCTGTTATGTTCTACATCTGACTTGGACGATATCAAATTTTTTTCAGACGATTTATTTGCTAAAAATGTAAATCCTGAAGTTCCCTGAGAGCTTTCTGATTTCGGAATTCCAAAACTGAAACTCTGTGTTGATGGCTGTGTACTTGGTACCCCAAAAGTAAATCCATTTGTAGGAGCGTCTGTTTTTTTCTCTTCTGTTTTTGGTATTCCAAATTTAAATTGTGATGGAGTTGAAGGAATACCGAATTGAATTGAACTTCCTGATGATTTTTTATCTGATGTATCAGATGCAGTTCCTGGCTTTGGAGACTCACAAGCAACACACTTAGTGACGTCATTTTTATTTTGAATCATACACGTATCACAAGTCCATGTGCCGGCTGGTTTTTTAAATTGATCACCAAATCCACTTGTTACCGATATTGATGGTGTATTTTCAGTACTTTTATTTGAAGATGAGTTACTGTCTGGACGTGAAGTTGTACAACAAACACAAGTGGAAGCTGTTGAATTATTTCTAACCATGCATGAAGGACATTCCCATGTTTTTATAGAGTTTTGACTTTCATTGCTTTTCGTAGAAACAGAGGTTTGACTTGTCTTAATCAATCCTGGTTTAGCAGCATTACAACAAGGACATTGAATCACATTACTGGCATTCTTTAGCATACATCCCGGACACTCCCAAGTGCGTTCGGGAGATTTAATTACATCCTTTGCATCGGATGATGAACTTTTTCCAGTGACTAATGATGAAGATCCGCTATTACTTTTATTTTGTTGTTTGGGAGCCATACAAGATAAACATGCGAGAGTGTTGATTGGATTTCTAACAAGGCAACTGCTACATTCCCATTTGTCATGAGACATTTTAAATTGTGCACCAAATTGTCCATCGTTTCCTCCAATGGATGACGTAACATTACTCACTGATGATGTTTTTTTAGTTGAATTTGATTTTAAAGCTTTACAAGCAATGCATTGATCAGTACTGTCATTATTTTTTATCATACATTCACTACATTCCCAAATGTTGACAGCATTTTCAGATCTTTTACCAAGAACATCCATAACACTACCAGTTTTTAATTCTGACGCAACACTTACTCCTTTTGACTCTTCTTTCTTATTCACTTCTATTTTCTTCTCTTTAGGTCTTGGTGCAGTAGATGATCCTGACCACATGAAATTAGTTGATGGTGATTGAGGAGAACGAGTTGAATTAAGATAAGGAGTTGAATTAGCGGTGGTTATTGGTGTGATTTTAAAACTAATTTTATTTTTTTCTTTTTCTATATTAATTGGTTCGGAAAATTTGAAACTATGTGAGGATTCAAGATTTTTCGTTACTTCAGTAACTTTTACAGGACTGGAAAACTTGAAGGCTATTGGTTCTTTAGATGGCAATGATTTTGTCTTCTGTATTAGATCATTGTTAGATTTATTCTGTAGTGGAGGTAAAGGAAGAGAGAAATTAGGCATTATGGTTATTGGCAACGGTATATTAGAAAGATTTACTGTTTCAGCAGGTTCTTCAACATCGATTTTTTTCTTAGCATTAGTACGTAATTTTCCAAAGAATTTTTTATCATCACTTTCAGTTCTCAAATGATATTCAGACGAATTAGCATTCAAAGAAACATTTTGTGGTGGAGGTTCATTTAGTGCTGATACTATTCTTCTTGCTGCTAATGTTGTATCTTGTAATCGCTGACGTCTTCTCAGTTTAAGCATATCTGGTACTGTTGGAACAGACAATTCTCGAGTTAAATGTCTCAATCCAACTTGAGAAACGGATGGAGAATCTTCTTCTCTTGGTCTCTTTTTTCCTGAGATTGTATGAAGGGGAGTTTTTACTGGAATTTTCTTGGCATCAGATATTGGAGAGGAAAAATGTTCAAGTGCTTCGAGAATACGTTTAGCAGTTTGACTCATGCCTGAAGAATCTGTTGTGGTCGAAGAATTTGATGGTTTCACTCGAATACTTGCTCTTTTAGGAACTCTTAATTGAATATCACTGCCATCTGTAGAATTTGAATATCCAGGTCGAAAGTTTGCAAGTGCATTGGCACCACCAAAAGTTGTGTTACCACTATAGAAAGGTGAAGACAATACAGAATCTTTGCCATTACTAACGATTGAATAATTAAAACTTGGTCTTCGAGAACTTGCAGAGTCTCTACCATCAAATAGTAATGATCTTGGTGATTGAAGATGATTTGTGAATGACAATTTGTCATTATTAAATCCTTTTTTCATAGCAAAGGGATAATTAATATATGTAGATACGTTTTCTTGTCTGTTTGTTTGAGGAATAAGAGAACTGCATCCACTAGTACTTTCACTTGATTCTGAATTATCATCTGTACCATTTGTTGTAACATTATTTTGTTGTTGTTGATGATTAAAAGGACTTGTATCAGATCTTGAAGGATTTAAAGTTCTTACTGTAGGATGCATTGATGGCGTTGACGAAACAAATGCTCTTGCAACAGTATTTCTTGCAGCAATAGATGGCTGTAAAAAGTCATTAATTGTATCATCTGGAAGAGGATATTGTTCATTTGTATATTCGAGCTTTTCCTTTACTCCTTTTCCTCTTGTCTTAATATTAAATGTCCCTGGTGGATGAGTCATGTCCATTCTAATACGTGGTCGCTTTGTAGGTGGCTGTAATGTTTCTTCTTCAACATCTTGTTCTTCGGGATTGTCTCCTTCATTAGAAATTTCACCATTTCCACCTGGTGTATTAAACCACTTACTTATCCACGATTTTTGTGGAATTAAATCTGTCACTTTGGTGGCCACTTTTTTTACAAAAGACTGAAAAAATAAGTATAATAACAGTTAGTAATATTTCTTTTAATCGGATTTAAGTATTTTTTTTATTTACTAACTTATATTAAAATACTTTAAATCATTACAATAGTTGTCTAGCAGTACTAATGGCTATGAATAAAATTTTAAGGTTAGGTATAAAGCACACGGCATACATGAATAAGTAGTTCACGATCTATAACTGACCTATAATATAATGTATAAAAATAAATTGCTTAATTTTATTTTGTTTCATCCAATAATAATCTACCTTTATTCGTGATTAAATATACTGAATGTAAATTACGTACATTGTAAATGATGATGAGATGCTGACCTATTTTAGGAAAGGCGCAAAGTTATACATTCTATGAAACATTATCGAAAGAAACAATTTGTTATTCGATATGAAATGAATAAAAACTTAATATTAAAAATCCATATAGCTTCTAAGCAGATATTTTTGAAAGTGGTTCATTAGTCCAATAAATGTCATAAAATTGGGTAATTTTACTCACGTTGTTCGCATCGTACGGCTTCTCACCGTAGATTCGTCGTCCAGCCGAGTTGTTGTTGCTTCTTTTAGCCATTTTGCACGCCACCCTCGATTACCTCTATGTTCTTTCTTCTATATATTTACTTTTAGTTTTGTTAATTACCTATTTCTTATTCACATTAAACGCAATCAATCATTAATAATAGCATTCTTGAGAGAATATTTTGCGTTTTAACCAACAACACGATGACAACGGCACATCACCTTCTTTCTCGAGCGGGAGAGTGACGAAAACGAGATGGTGGATCGCTAGAGGGTGCAAAAAGCTGTTGTAGTTGACTTGTCTGCTACCAGAGTACGCTACGGTAGTTATTTTCAAAATATTGGCGCGAAATATTAGATTTGAAGCTAAATATCTAATCTAACAATAACACCAAACCGATTATTAGACGTCGTTTCATTTGCACATTAAGAGTATCATAAAGATATAAAAATTATTTGTTTTTTTCACATTCTAAAAAACGAAAGTTTTTTTAAATCATTTCCGATTGCCAAAGTGTTATTTGCTTTGACAAATCGACAAATTATTTTAATTTATGCAATGTCAATAGACCAACCGGAAAGGTTATGATCTGAAGATGTGTTATAGAAGAATCGTATGTCAATGTCATAAGTTAATTTTTTTTAAGAAAAATATTTACTTATTTTTCTTGGAACTCATTTTTCTCTCAAAAACAAATTTATCTTTCATATTTTATGTTACATTTTTATCTAATATTTATGATTTTTTCATCTTTTCAGATGGACTATTTTATTGGTTTGTCGACCCAATACAAAAAAATAACTGTAAAAACGAATAGTTTCTGTCCAATAAATAATTAAAATTTTCATATGAATTTCTCATCGGCTAGAAAGTATCTTAGGAATTAAATCTTAATAGCAAGCATTTTTCTGGTGAAGCGTTTTTATTAACCAATCATAAAAATTAAATTGAAAGAAATTTTTAATGGTTAGTTTCCCTAATATTAGTTCTAATCAAATGAGCACAATCTGACAACAATACAAACTTGTCCGCGTTCATAAATAATACCGTTAATTTTTTGAATATAAAGTATACTTGGTAATTCTTATTCATTTCGTGACAAGAGATACAGAATTAATATAAAGATAACAAAAGCAACGAAGCAGTTATAACTTATGCACGCAAGTAGTTTATGTTTATAAAATTGCACTATTGAAATGTGTCATTAATACACATTATAAAATATATACATAGTTTCCTATATGTGCTTAAAAAAATATATTAATGAATCTAAGTTAGAAAGGATTCAGTAAAAGTCTACAAAAATAATCTGGAGACATGTGTGCAAACAATGAAATAATACTATTTACTTAGGGAAAGTCTAAATAGATGAGAAGAAAAGAATAAAAGAAGGAATTCTCTAGATAGTCACATCCAGCTAAGTATACGTACAGAGAGAAAGCTATGTAATTCCTGGGAATCAGTATATAGAGATGTTGACTATGACGTTTTTAAACCTTATAATCTTAGTCACGTCCGCTTGGATCGTGAAAATCTTGACAATGGATAAAAATTGGTCAATTAAGTATTTTACATAAAAAAAATAATTTTGTAATTTCTCTAATTACATTCAAATAAATTAATCTTGATGTAAAGACAGATGACATCGAACTAAGGGAAAATATGTGAATAATGTGAGTAAAAAATAATGATGGATAGATTCTATGATAGTTTATGAATGAATAATTGATAACCGATTTATTTATTAGATAGGAATTCTTGATGTTTGACCACATACAAGCCTTGTCGTGGCGCGGTCAGCGTGGCCTGAATTCCAAGGTGCTTACTTCTGGTCGGACTGGGTAGGTTGAGAGGTAAAGGCAAAGGAAGTAGAGAATGATGACGCGTCGCAATGACGATAGAAGACTCTCGTACTCCTTCGACCGCTATAAACTGCGATGGTGTACTATAAGAAACGTATGGTGGTAGTACAAACGGTTGGCTGACTGGCAGTCTTAAGTTACAGGTGGGGATTTGAGACCAACACCAGGAATATGACTTCCTGTCTCAAGTAGATGGTCTTCAGTATTCGATAAACGCTTCTTTAACTCGCACGCTCAGCTTGAGCGATCTAGTGTGCCGCAATTAATAAATTTAACATTGAAGTTTGTTGTTAAATATCTAAATAAAATTTAGACGTGATGATAGTCATGTAATCGAGCCACTTAATTTTCATTTGAGACATTTGGTTCATTAAAATTTTTTATTGTGCTAAAAGTGTCTTCTAAAGTGTTGATTGCTCTTAGTGTTATAGTCAATAGAAAATCAAACAATGGAATCACGAGGACTTTATTATTTTTATATTGCTCTTTTACTTCTTTTTATAGTTCGAGGTATGTAGCTCATTTAAAATTTAAATCACCATGCTAATTACAAGTATTATTGTTAGTAAAATTGTGCGAATATTATTTTTTAAATTTATCTACTTAATTATGAATAAATTTTAATTGTACGAGTAATTGTTCGTAATATTAAAAGCAAATTGCAATACTTCCTGAGGAAAAGTGGAAATAAACTTGCAAATGATTATAATATAAGATATAATATATAGTTTCGAAAGATATTCGACATATCCTTTTTATTTAAAATTATAAAGAAGATAATTTTTTTTGATAATTAATTAAACCGGATAGTGGTTGCGATTTCACCAGGATTTTGTCTTCAAACTTTTTTTTTTAAAGAGAAATCACTTATTACATTTGCAGAATTGATAAACACAGCAAACTTCCCACTGCTAGTTTGCTATTAACTTATAGAATTGCAATTTTATTATTCTTTTCTGTGGTAATCCTACTCACTGATGATTGCATCTAGACATTTTCTCACTACACGCACTTCAAGAATACATCTCAAATTATAATTCTTTTGAAAAAGAAAGCTATTAATATTTCTCATGATAATATCAGGAAACAAATAACGGGAATTAAACATATGAGCTCCCGAATTATTCATGTATTCCTTCAAGACCCTTTTTTCATAATGCTTCTTAACCTCATTATTTAATTTCCTAGACCGGTCACATTCTAAATTGTATCAAATAATTTGTTAGTCTCGCACTGTCACTTTATACTGTGTGACTTTTGACCTACTAACCGATTTTACCTTACACCTCAACTTTATCTATTCTAAATCTAATAATTAAATTATCCTCATTGTCTTTGTTTACTAATTTTTCACTTAATCGTAGGAAGTATTTAATTTTGAAATATTTGTACCTTTCTGATGATTAACATATTAATTAAATAGTTTAGGTTCCGTTAAGTGCGCGTGGCAATCGGCAAACGGGATCGATTCTCCGTATTATTTTTTATTCCATGATTTTTATTTATCTTTTAGCCTTCCTGTCCTCGTTATTACATTCCTAGATCATTCATTACATTATTATGTTGGACAAATAATATAGGAAGAATATTTACACTGTGCAATCGAGCGAAGAAATGATTGTGTATAGAAACACCATCGCTGTCACTATAAGCTAGTTAATTACTATGAAAGTCAATGCTCGGCACGCAGAACGAACGAACGATGCTATATTAACGGTGAATTTTCCATTAGCGGATAAACTTATCACCTTCAATCTTTTAGCATGATGGAAAATTCGATTGTTGCAGATTAACTAAAGAATAAGAAAATATAACAATAATCATAGCGATAATAATAATAATAATAATGCTAGAACATCGTTGAGAGTGATCGCATGTTCAACATACACTCTCAAGTGTGAGCTGTCATACTTTAACTTTACAATACCTTCATACGTTGAATACCAAGCTCTAGGTGTAAAGAGATGTAATGCAGGGGTGAATGCTCGCACAATAGACGTAGCGAATTACTCGAACGTTAGACCATAATGTATGTGTATATTCAAGTCATCAATTCTGAACTAATAATATTTTTTTAACGTCACGTTTATAGGGAGCAGATCAACAGGGTGTGGATATCCAGGAGCACCTGCTCATAGTCATGTCAGATTTTCTGGTGACAGTCTTGAAGACGTCCTTGATGAGGAAGAATCCTTGATTAAAGAGACATCATTTTCCAGTGGGACAGTAGCTACATATTCATGCGAACGAGGATTTGAACTTCTTGGTCCATCACGAAGACAATGTCAACCAGATGGAACATGGACTCCAGAAGGAGTTCCATTTTGTGGTAAGACAATAATAGCTGATTAAGTAGTTTGAAAAATAAAAATGCATGACGATAAACTGACCTGGTACGTGGCTATCTATACATCTGTTTGGTATAGCTTATAGTTTATTTGCCGCTGTTTCCCTTGGCCCGTCTGCCAACAGGTTCATGTTTAACGGTTCCATGCCCCTTCTCTGGCTGCAGTTGGTTCCGTTTCACAGCTATTATTGAGCCACCTCGGTCAAGGACACAAGGAAACGGGTCACATGCCTTTGACACCTACAGAAAAATAGGATTCAGGTTTTAAATACTCCTACAAGTTTTATTGAAATTTTTTCCGTTGAAATGACTCAAGAAACGAGGATTTAAAGGAAAGAGAAAGAGGAGAAAATAATGCGACATATTAAAACAAAAGCCCATGGCAGGTGAACGTTAAGTAGGTCTCTACTCGATACAAGTGGGTCGTGGGGCATTACAAAGCAAGAAGAAGGTAACTTGGTAAGCAGGCAGCTACGTCGATTCGCTTCGTCGGCTCTTAGAACTATGAGACAATCATTCTAAAGATGTTCGTGGACCTAAGTGCAGGCATTAGAATAAACAGAGCACGAGACTATAATCCTGAAAACAGCAAAATAAAGAGAAACCCGTACACCAGTACACGTGCGACAATCTTGACGTATTTTTATATAATTTCAGTCAATTTTCCTCACCAACAATGTACCACAAACCCTATTATTATTCTTTAGCATTCTGTCATCGTTTTTTGAACAATTCCAAATCAATTTACTTCTTGCGTTTATCGTCATGCGGATTTCTCGACCAACTCAGAAAGGAGGACACCTGGCGAATTGTCACCAGAGTGAAACTCGTTTTACTACCTAGAATCATTTTTATTTATGTAAAATATTTTTTAATTTTTCAGTGCTCAATGTCGCTGGAGGAAAAGCGCCAATGCAATCTAGTAGTGCAGATGGTGGGATTCCACAAAAGGCTGTTGATGGTAGCAGTGGTCAAGTTTACAACCCTCAAACATGTACTTTGACTAGGGCAGAGCTAAAGCCCTGGTGGTACGTCAATCTTCTTGAACCATATATGGTCCAATTGGTTAGACTTGATTTTGGGAAAGCCTGTTGTGGTGAGTGGTTAAGATAATATTCAATTTAAGACCAATAGAATCGCTTGACTGATCAATTTCTTGCTGTCTCGCAAACTTTCCACAATTAGAGCAAATCGATAGCGATTTGCCAGCTTTATAGACTTCTAGGGAAAATACTACTCAACGAGCTGGAAAATATTTACTATTAAATTAGATGACGACTTGAGCTAGTTTTTATTTGTTAAAAAATAGCTGCGAAACTATCAATTCTTCCCGTATATGGTGAGAAGTCAATTTGCCAAAGTATTTTAGAAATTTTCGTTCAATGGATAGCGAGAGTCTTTCACTACTTTCGATTGTTAGAAAACGCCGGAAAGCTATGCCTTGTAGATTGATAAGGCTTGCGTGTTAATTCAAACGCATCAAATTGCATTCTTTTAACTTGCGCACTCTTTAAAAGATGTAGGAATTACGGCTTACCATCAACGATTGACAAACTTGGTTATCGTATGTGTCACGGATAAAGTCCTTTGTAGGCCACTGCTTGCAGTAAAAGACGAACCACTGAATCACAAAAAAATGATAAAATCTTTTTCTTTTTTTTTATCGACCTTCTATTCTTCTAACACTTCTTATATATTTAATTATGGGAGTGAAAGCTCACATGCCACACTCATGATGCTCATTTCCTATTATTACCATTATTTTTAAATATTTCTTAATGTTATCTTTTGTTTTTGTCTTGCGACACAGACGGAGTTTCAGGAACGATAGTTGTACGAGTTGGTAATAATCGGCCGGATCTTGGGACAAATCCCATTTGTAATAAATTCACTGGACCTTTAGAAGAAGGGCAACCGCTATTTCTACCATGTAATCCACCCATGCCTGGAGCTTTCGTTTCTGTGCATCTAGAATCTTCTTCTTCTCCTCCTACACCTGTTCAATTGTCACTTTGTGAAGCTTTTGTATATACTGATCAGGTAATTGATTTATTTTTTTTAATCAATATTGGTTATTTATGATTCATTTTTAATTACTAATTTTCTGTAAAGGCTTTACCTATTGAAAGATGTCCTCAATTCCGAGATCAACCCCCTGGATCAACAGCAACATATAATGGAAAATGTTACATATTCTACAATAGACAACCCATGCCATTCCGTGAAGCTCTCGCTTTTTGTCGGGCTCGAGGAGGAAGTCTCGTAGATGAAAGTAATCCTGCTTTGCAAGGATTTATCTCGTGGGAATTATGGAGAAGACATCGTAGTGATACTTCAAGCCAATATTGGATGGGTGCTGTAAGAGATTCAAAAGACAAGTCTGTTTGGAGGTGGACTGGAAGTGGTGATGAAGTAGCAGTTTCTTTCTGGAGTCTTCCACAAGGCACTCAGGAAGATTGTGCTCGATATGACGGTAGTAGAGGTTGGCTTTGGTCAGATACTCCTTGTACCGCACGACTCAATTATATTTGTCAACATCGTGAGTATTGAATTTTAGAAATTTAAGTGGTTATGAAATCAATCTATTTATGTTTATCTTTGATGTCTTTCCAGAACCGAGAGCTTGTGGTAGACCAGAACAACCACCAAACTCAACAATGGTAATTACGAATCTTCAATCAACAGACTCTCCAGGAAATAATTACCAAGTTGGTGCAACAGTTGCTTACAATTGTAATGCAGGAAGTCTGTTAATCGGCCCGGCGACTCGCACCTGCTTAGACACAGGATTTTATAATGAGTTTCCTCCAGTTTGTAAAAGTATAGAGTGTGGTTTTCCAGCAAGTATAAAGCATGGAGAATATACACTTATTAATAATACTGTCAATTATTTAAGCCAAGTCTTGTATTCTTGTGAAGATGGATATGAAATGACTGGTAAAGTATTAATAGTATTTGTCTTACATAATAAAATTACATAATGTAATCAATTTCAATTGTCAATAAATTTTCTCACTATTCTTTAGCTAGTATTATTTAACAAATTTTTATTTTTTATAGGGCGAGCAAGACTGACTTGTGATATTGATGAACGCTGGAATGGGCCTCCACCGAGATGTGAACCTATCCGTTGTGATCCTCCAGCAGTTGTAGCACACAGTACAATAAAAATTGAAGAAATGAATGGAGAAGAAAGTCAAGAAAAAACTGGAAATCAAACCCTTCTTGTTGGTAGCATTGTTACTTACACTTGTGAGAAAGGATATAAATTATCTGGATTCCGTCAAATACTTTGTCTACCAACTGGATTATATGACCATTCTGCTCCAACTTGTACAGGTAATTTTCTAATAAATAAAAATAAATTTATTTCGGAATAAAATTTATATTTATGTCATAATAAATTATTAATGAAATTGTAGAAGACAATAAAGGATCAACAACACCAGCAAGATCAACTGTGAGGCCGACAATAACTAGAGGGAAACCATTCTTCCCTCCGAGAATTCGTACGACAACTACAGAAGCTACAACAACTACAACAACCGAGACGGTAGAAGAAATTTCAACTAAAAAATATGTTGCAAATGCAGAACATCCCGCAACTGTAAGGGAATCAACAGGAAGAAAACCAACAATTGCAGTACAAAAAACTTCATCGTCAGGAGTTTTAAATGACGATGATCATCCTCAGGACAACGAAATATCTGGAAGTGGTGTTGATAATGCTCGGGCTAAGGTAGCTGCCGGAGTTGCAGAACCAACTGGACCTTTCAGAGTAGATAGATCAGATTCTCCAACTCATCAAGCCAAATTAAACCTTGGTGCAGTGATCGCTCTTGGAGTTTTTGGTGCTTTTGTTTTTCTAGCAGCCGTGACTACAACTATTGTGATTTTGATACGCAGGTAAGATTTGTTACATAAAATTAATCTTATTCTTACGATAGAATAAGATAAAAAGTATAAAATACAAATGAAATTAATGCTTCTATTAAGCTTCCAATGAATCCTTGAATGTTCACCAGTTTCGCACTGTCTTTTATTTATTTTGTAAATAAAAAATTTACTCATATTTTTTTTTGTAAAAAGAAAAAATATGGCAACAAAAAGTGTGGTTCATATGAACGGATGACAGTGCGGATATGTAAAGAACTAACTAAACCAGTAGTTTAACACAAATTAACTTGAGTAAAATTTGTAAATGCGTGGTGGTTAGCGGCAACGGCAGAGTACGAGGACGACGTCGTCACAGGGGGCTCGGCGGGGTTGGTGCGCTCGGGGGTGGCGATGGAACTACTGGTGGCCTCGGAAGGTCCGATCCTACAGGAATGCCGTCGCGCTGGTACACGCTTCTTGCGCTTCCATTCCCCGACCAGCACCTGGGGCGTCGTGATCTTACGGCTCGTCGAGCTACCGATCACCCATATTCCTTCAGTCTTTCCGCAGCTCATCGTGCCGGTTATTTCTCCAACCCTTCCTTATAATTAATTACAGACGCCATATCTGACTATATAAATAACAGAAAAACTAAAAAAACTTATACAAAAAAAAACAAAAAAAAATAAACTAAACAAACATACAGAACTATTGCCAAGACCCACTCCCCAATCGCCCAACCACCGCCTTCTTCATCACCACCGAATCAATCAACGTCTTCATCACAACCATGTGTATACAGTGACGTTCTAGTCAAGGTAAATGATGCAGAAGACATGGAGAAAGGTGAAATGAAAAGAGAGAAACGCACTAAAGGAGCACTTTTTTTATTTAGAACTAGTAGTTCGCCTTATCCCGCTACTCTTGCACGCATTTTCATTTACGTTCTTTTTCTTCCATTATAAATATATATATTCCCACTGGCCTTGTTTTCTCCGCAATTTCGCACGCATTCTCCAGGGAAACCTCGATGCGGGATTGCAGTGATACTATTGCTTTAATTAATGTTTTTTTTTTCTTTTTGCTGTAATGAGTGACTATTTAATTATTATTTTAGGAATAGAGGAAGCCGAAGTAAACATTACCGACATCGTGCCTCACCAGATTGTAATACTGTTGCCAGTTTCGACAGCAGCTCATCAGAAAGTCGTGGAGGACTGAATAGATATTATAGACAAGCTTGGGAAAATCTTCATGAATCAACTGGACAAAAAGCTAATCATCATCCTTTACGAAGAAAAGAAACTCTTGACGATCCAGCTTTTCGTGATAATTATCGTCATCCTGACAATACCTCTGATCTTGGTGATGTTACTGGTCTTTCTGGAAAACAACATGTTAGTGACAAGAAACGACACCATCATCATCATCACCATCATCATGGTAATTCAACACCAGAATGGCGACAGTCTCAGTCTCACCACCGATATTGAGTTTTTTTAATGAATATAATTGAATTTTAACATATTAAGGATATCTTACTTTAAAGAATTAACGTACTATTGTAAATAATTTGAGTTCGTGTTGCGGTTCAGGAATAATCCTGAAGGAACATGCCAAAAATAATCTACACTATTTATAATACTTCAAAATAATTTGTAGGCGCGGTTAAAAACTCAGCTTGACAATTTTCATCACCAGGAATTTATGTATTTTATTCGTTTTCATTATTAGTCCGCAATGGCCACCTTGGCCTCACCTTTATTTAGAGTCAGGGAGACTTAAGGTTAGGCTAATGTTGTTCATTCGGTGTAAAAAATTATCGTTTTCTTAATGATTACGATCAATATTTAGCTATTGAGTTTTTTTCTATTTTACGACTGAATTTTTAATGAGCCTAATATTTTCTTTAACAAAGAATTCAAGTGTAAAAACTTGTTGTGTTATAAATAACACCTAGAAATTATGAAAATATCTGTATATGTATTTACTTAAAGTTAATATATTTGATAATATTAAAAAAAATCACATTTTTTAATCATTTTCTAAGCTTGAATTTGTGTAGCCTTAATGTCTACATCAGCGGCAAGTCAATTTAGCTGAAATATTCCTTTAATTTTTTCTTATGAGTTTTTTTCTGCATCAACCACTGTCCGATGAGTTTTCCAACTTGCTTTCGAGCTTCCACTAATTGTGGTAAGTCATTAGGTGATGCAGGATACATATTGGCACAATGAGCAGTACCTACAATAACAATTAAAACATTAAACACAAATTATAAAATTTGATTAATAAAACAATCATACAATTTACCATTTATGAAAATTGCTTGTGCTTCAGAATTTGATGATTTTATGATTCCCAATGCATGCCAAGGATCAATAGATCCATGAACATAAACAACGTTTGAAACTTCGAGATATAATCCTCCATACAGAATATTCGTTCTTTCCACTCCATCATCTAATAGCTTGAAATTATATCTAAAAAAATATCATTTTTTAAACCTCTTAATTTTTAGAAGAATCTGATAATATTAATTGTTGTTCATACTTTGGACCAAAAATATCTGAACATTGTTGAATGAAAAATTCAACGGGAAATGTTTTACTGAAAAGTTCGGGTCGAGCAGTAGAAGTTTGGAAAAAACCAAATTCGGTACATGTTTGATAAAACCACTGTCGACCACCTTCTGAAGTTTCTGCTTCCCAAGATACATTTCTAAGCTCGTCTATCATTTTACTATATTGATAATCTAAGCATTTTTCGCCGTTAGCTTCCAGTAATAAATTACTGACAGCTGCTAATCGCTGTGCAGAAATTCCTTTCTTCTCATCAACAAGAATATCACAAACAGTATCAATTGTTATGTTAGCTGTTTTTGAGGTTTTACGATTGTCTTTATTGTACTGAACAACTTCAGCAAAATTGCTTGCTAAAGTTTCAAATAAATTAGATACGTCATTTCTTTGTGGATTAGAAGAATCAAATGGTTGACAAAGTTTAAATGTTTTCACAACATTTTGTTGACCAAGGACATGATGAAGCATTATTTGTATTTGGTTCATACCATCAGCAACGGCACTAACACATTTATCTGAATGAGTTTTTAATGCATTTTCTACTACAACGTAGTACTGACGGAAGTCAATTTTAGCAAGTAATGGCCCACTTGAAGATACAGCACCATGGATTAAATGAGGATATTTAATACGCATCCAAGCTGCTAGAGATCCTGGATAAGATCCACCAAATGCAATCCATTTAGTATCATGGGGGATTTGATATAAATGGGTCATATTTTGAATAAAATATGCTAAATCAGCAAGAGCTTGTTCAGATGATAAATATACTAAGTTTTTAGTACTTAAGTCCCTGTAGAAATCCAAAGATTAGAAAACTAATTAATACAATATTAGTGGATTAATTTTTGAAATCATGATATAGAATTCATACACTGTGGGTCGACTTTTGCCATAAAAACGATGCTCTAATTGAAAACATAATGCATTGTACTGTTTGGCGTATTCTATCCATTGACCCTCTTTCATCCAATGAGGACTTGCTTCACCTTCTCCTCCAATCATCAAAAATACAGGTCCTCCGTTTTTGTGATATTCTTTATTCATGAAATATCTCTAAAATTGCAGAATTTTTAGAATTTTCTATTTTAAACTAGATCCGTTAGTTATAAACTTACTTGTTTCCATGTTTTTCCGTTGGTCGGGTCAAAATGATCTAAGTATTGTTCAAACCACATATCCTTTGAAGGAGTATATTTTCTCGATGAAGCCGGTTCACCTAATCCATATTTACTTCTTCCTCGAGCAAATCGTCGCCACGCAAATGACTCATTATGCAAAGTAAATAAACAAGCAAATAAAATAAGTAAGTATTTTGCGTTAATTTGCATCATGACTTGTATTCACTTTACTAAATATTATTTGAATAATAAGTGGAACAGAAATTTATCGAATTTATAGAAAAAATAAACAAAGTAGTTCGATGAACTTCTAGAATGATGATAAGTAAATTGATATCAGTTGTGTGTAAATAAAACTAAACGATTTGCATTCGTGAGAGAACAATTTTCCACCATTTTATTGGAAAAAAAGGAAGAGATACAAAGGTAGGGGCAATCACGAGTCCAAGCTCAGCCCAGATAACCAACCATGTTACAAAGAATACTTACATCCTAAAAACAGACTATTGCTACTTAGAACTATACAGTGTATGGTCTATACTAAATTTCCTGGCGCGATTTACAAAAGCTTTGTACTTATTTTAACCATTTTATCACAGTACAGCAATATCCTTAACTTGGTCTTAACATTAAGTTTTAGCTTTAATTAGATTTAATTTTTCTTTAACACCTTCTATAACAATTTTTCCAATATTATATAACATTTTTTATATATGATTGAACCAGAAACAAAACAAAAACTGAAAATAAAAATAAACGACAAACAAATATACATTTTTCTTTTTTTCCTTTTTAACTTATTCAATGTAACACCTATAACTGTATAGACACTTTTGCTTCCTGTTTCTACAGATTACCTTAAAGAATAGACCTCTTTATCTTTAAATACTTAACTCAATACTGTTCAGAAACCTGGCCACCGCAAAGATGACTCCTCGGTCCATACTATGTAACATAGGTTCAATGCAGTACGGAGGAAAGGATTTTTGTTTCCTTAAATCTTTGCAAAACAATGCTCGTATATCCTCGTACTTACTACACTGAAAGAAAACATGGTTTGCTGTTTCCTCGGCTTCGCCACATTCACAAATAGCAGATCGAATGATATTAAATCTAGCAAGACTTTCTTTAAGACTAGAGTGATTGCATCTAAGTCTATTAATGGAGACCAGAGGTTTCCTAGCTAAATTGAACTTACCGAACCATGGGAGTGCGCTCTCTGAATAGTAATTCTCGTTGTAGAATCTTCCTTTATTTAACCCTTCACATTTACACCAGTTAACAAAGTCATTATGCATTTTTCCCTTCCACAAGGCTTTGAAGTCGGAGCTTGGGAGCAGAATCTGGGAGTCGCGACCCTTCATAACGCTATCTTTCGCAGCTGAGTCCACTTTTTCATTATAAGAAATCCCTACATGTGCAGGAATCCAGAAAAACTTTACTACCCTACCAGTTACCTGTAGACTGTACACTAAATGTTTAATTTCACCGATCAGCACGTTCAATTTACCCGCGGATCTAATGGAGGCCAACGCCTTCAGGACACTTAAAGAATCCGAAAATATAACCAGTTTATTTAAATCCGTGTTAGCAAATTTTTTCAAGGCTGCAATTATCGCCATGGCCTCAGCAGAGAAAATTGAAGCGTACTTAACCGTTCTGTTCAGGCTCACACTGCTTGTGGCGACTTCTAAGTAGGCGAACCCTACAAATTCTTTACCTATCGTCTTTGAACCATCTGTAAAAATTACTACGGCATCACGAAACTCTTCACGGAATAAATTCCAAAAAGATCTTTCAACACTTAGAGGCTTGGACTTATGAATTTCCTGAATTTCTTTTCCTTCTTCCCAATGTACCTTGGCTGGAACGAACATCGATTGAAATGGAAACTTAAAGCAGTTAGGGCGTGAATCACTAGAGATCAGATGACTTATTGGTTCTATTTCCTGAAAACAACGTACTAACCCTGGAGTTTCAGTACTAAAGACCATGGTAGGACACTCTCTGAGTTCGGATATTTCACTGAGGATAGCAATAACTTTATGGTTTGAGTTTGAGAAACAACGAGTTAGAAAATTATGAGTCATATACCTAAATCTAAACTCCAAAGGTGGTTCTTTAGACTCAGCAGCTATCACATTCAGCGGAGTTGAGTTTCTATACCCCATTGCTAACCTCAACGCTTTGTTTTGGATTCTATCTAATACTTTCAGAAGGGATTTCTTGAGCGACACAAACAGAAATGCACCATATTCAATTCTGGACCTAACTAGGCTATTATACACCTTAATCAACGTTGGAGGATCAGCCCCAGTCCATGTCAACCTTAAATAGTTTATAATTGCCATAGGATTAATGCACTTTGACCTAATAGCTTGGACTTGGTGATCCCATTTTAGCGAGCTGTGAAACAGAATGCCCAGAAATTTAATTACTTGCTGAGACCAAATTCTTTCTCTATTTATTTTTATACACCAAGACTTAGTCGCGATTTTAGGATCGGAGCTAAAAACAATCAACTGGCACTTTTCTGGAGCCAACTCAAGTCCACTGTCATTTAAAAAAGGAATAATCTTATGTACCGACTCCGATACAGCTTTTAACACTTTTTTTGGATCTTTATCAACTGCATAAATACATACATCATCTGCAAATTGAAGAATTTTGCAATCCTCCACAATCCAAGACTCTAAAGACATCATGTAAACTGAGTACAAAACTGGGCTCAGTACGCTACCCTGAGGTAACCCTCTGAAGACTTTTCTATGACAGTCTATTGTGTCGTATTTGACTGATATTACCCTCTCCGACACTAAGTTATGCACAAATTTCAAAATTAATTTAGGCCATCCTACACTAATTAGTCTACTAAGTAACACATCTCCGAGCACATTATCATATGCGCTTCGAATGTCCAAAAAAAGAGCACCAACACACTGCTTCTTGTCAAAAGCTCTCAAAATCTCCGCGTTCAGTATAGCTAAATTATCCAAACATGATTTACTTCTTCGAAATCCAAACTGCGTTTCAGGGAACTTATTATGAAATTCCAACCACCATGATATTCTAAGATTCAGAATTTTTTCCAAGATTTTTAACAAGCAAGGTGCCAACGATATTGGCCGAACAGCGTTCCCTTGACTCTTAGGAATGAAGAAAATTGAATACTGGCGCCATTCGTTTGGGAAGATTCCCGAAGCAAAAATTGAGTTGTATAACTCCAAGAGGGCCCCTCTGACTTCTTTAGGAAACGACTGAATCAACAAATAATCGATCCCGTCCAACCCCGGGCTAGATTTAGTCCTCGAATTCTCAATTGCGACCTCTAATTCTTCCACCGTGATAGGCAAATCCAGAAATACATCCCCTTCCACATTTTCTAACATCGGATCCCCTCTTGCTACCCAGGATGGGCATAGAGAGTCTATCCCAACCTTCACCCTCTCCACTACCTCTTCACTAAACTCGTTCGAGCAATGCGACGAATTCCAACCTTTTTTCAAAGCTTTCAGCTTCTTCCATATGTACGACGGACTTGTAAACTTATTGATACTATTTAAGAAGGACCGGAAGTAGTCCTTTTTATCTTTCTGATCCCCGACTTAGCCCTAGCCTCTGCCTGTTTATATTTTAAGAAATTTTCCTCCGAAGGATATTCTTTTAAACGAAGAAAGGCAGCAACTCGTAATCTTACCAACTTATCACATTCGCTATTCCAGAAAATTGCAGCTTTTCTACGCTCTTTCTCCTTATGAACTCTGCTCCCTGTATTTAGATTCCTACTACCACCCCTTCCCGGTGTAGCCACATTCACACAGTCCTCTATAATTGCTGTAAACGTCGTATATTTGACCTGAATCTCGAGATCCTCGTTTTGGACAACTGACCTAATTTCATTACTCCGAAATTCGAGTTCCCTGACCAACCGCCCCCAATCAGTTTTACTATTGTAAAGCCTTTTTGGAGCATGATTGCTTCCTTTTTTCTCAACTACCTTGTCAAAGTCAATAAATATTGGGAAGTGGTCACTGCCCCACGTATCCCTACTAACCTTCCACTCAAACAGCGACAACAACCCACAACTTGCGAACGATAGATCTAGAGCGGATTCTGTTCGATATTGACGCGAATAAAAGGTCTTGACTGCCCCATTCAGCAACCCAACCTCCGACTCCTCGATAGCTTCAAATAATTTTGTACCTTCTATAGAGTTCGCATCACTTCCCCATACCTGGTGATGAGCATTGAAATCCCCTGTGACCAGGAAGTTTCCACTGAATTGGTTCAAAAAGCGCACCCACTGGTCCTTCGTCATATTTCGATCCGGAGGCCTGTAACATGAGACTACTAGAAAAGGCCCTTCACACGTAAATAATTCTATAGCACACAGCTCAATGTTATTGTTACAATTATACAAACCATGTTTTCTCTTATATTAATATTATTTCTCACCAGAATAGCAACTCCACCCCCAGGGCGCCCTACCCTGTCTCTACGCACCACATCAAATCCCTTGACCGAGATTGAGTCATCATCCGTTAACCAGGTCTCCGAGAGTAACATCACATCAAAATTGGAAGCTCTATATTGTAATTCAGGTAACTTTCTCTTAATGCTGCAGCAATTCCATTGACAAAATCTGAAAGTATTCGCTTTATTCGCCATTGTTTGATAAAAAATGCAACTCAATTGTTCTCATCACTCTAGAGATCAACCTGTCCACGTCTGGGATCTTGAATACTAACTCCTTAAGTCGCCTGAACAACCTGTCACTACAGTCTCCATCTTCTTTTTTCTTAAGTTCGTGTAAAAAACTGCAAATCTCGCTGTTCAGCTCTGTTGGAATTCCTTCACCTTGGAGATTACTTGTCTTGAGTCTTGTTTACCATCAGCCTTTGGTCTTTCAATATTACCACTAACCGCCTGTCTATACGATCCATCTCTTCTAATGTTATGCACCAGGAACCTATTCTCATTTCCCAGGACTGGAAAGTTCAAAGAGTCCACCGAAGGCCTCAGGTTTTCTTGAGCATTAAAATGTCTTTTGAAATACAAATCCCTTGCTGTTGGGAATGACACATTCTTTTCCGCAATGATGCGACTGATCTCATAAAGTTCCCGAAGTTTCGGGCACTTACTGTCCAAGGAAAAATGTGAACCTTTACAGTTGATGCATTTAAGCATGCAGCCATTTTCTTCATCATGCTTGTTATTACCGCACCTGAGACACTTCTCCTCCTCCTTGCAAAACTTTATTGAGTGACCAACCTTGCCACACCTGTAACACTTCCTGACTGCTGGGATGAATGGACTTAAACCAATTCTCGTTTTCCAAAAGTAAACTGCGTTCGGTATTTCTTTAATGCGCATCGTTACCTGCACTGAAGTGGTGT